AACAGTAAATGGAGTAAGGGAGGCAGTGCACCAGCAATGTTCTTTCTGTGTGTGCCTGACAAAATAAAGTGGCGTAAAAAGCTTTTATTGTAGGCTACCATAATATAATCTTTACTTTTATATCTGTTTAACAATGTTCTGTGCTCAGCTCTCAGCATGTGCTTCACATAGGAAAATTATAGGTGGGACACCACTTCCAACCTCCATTTGCTTTGCTTTGGCAGTCATTCCCATCAACACGCCTAAATTAAATGATCACGTGATTCGCTGGTTTCTGTGGACCTGGAGCTTTGGATTCACGCATCTAAAGGTTGCAGGATGCTGAGCCTCAAGAACTGGGTCATGACATGAGATGCCTGGCTTAAAGAGTTGTAAAATACCAATTTATTATTTTAGATATAGCTGTTAAACTTTAAGATGTCTGTTTTGGACCTGGCTGATCACAAAGTAGCTGTTAGCTTCAGCAACCAGGTTCAGCTGATGTGGATTCATGCTAAATGAAGACTATCATCCACAGCTATAAAGTGCTCATAAACATGTTCCAGAACCTCGCTTCAAAAATCTCAAACTATCCCTTTGAGGAATGAAAAGAAAAAAAAAAAGCTGAACAGAATTAGCTTCCTACAACATTTACTTTGCAGTTTGTCACCTGGCTTTTACCAAAACACTTATGAACTAATCTGCACACCAATCAGGCGTTCATAAAAAAAAAAAAATCCTTGACAGTGGTTGTTTCAGTTGCATGTTTTGGTCAGCTTCCAGTCAGTCACTAATGCCTGCGTTTGCTCTGTGATGTAGCGAGCTTTGGGGTCGTGACCCCTCCCTCTTGCTGTAAACGAAAGCAGATGTCAGATGAAGGCAGGAGAAGGGGAACGGCCTGGCGTTACGTAACGTAGGTGCTCCGCAGCGATAGAGAGGGCCGGTGTGGCAGATGAGCATCGAGAAAAGTCGTCGTAGGTTCTATTCTGTTCTTGACGCACACGGCTGTGGCCAGAGGAGAGCGAATTGAAACCACCTGAGTGAGATGATAAACAATCGGAGAGACGAACAGAACGTGATCAGGCGGAGCGGGAACATTTCATACTTGTGTGTCAGATCCAGGATCAGACCAGGAGACCCTCCAGATAACGGCCAGGAGGAAAAGCACACGCAGACAAAAGAGACGAAAGGAACGGACGCGAGCAGACCAACAGACGCAGAGGAGGCTCGTGTTTATGACCTAGAGTCCCACCTAGGCCACTACTGCGCACATACACACACATGCATGCACACGGACACAGCGGGGAGAATCACACACACATGCCGTGGACCACACACTGCCTAGCAGATCTGTTTAAAAGCCAGGAGCTGTGTTTATCTTTCCCTACATCCTGCTCGCAGAAATATTTGCGAGAAAGCAGTGTTATTTTGTATGCGTGTGTGCGTGTGTGTGTTTTTTTTTTTTTATGCATATGTGGACATGCATAATACTGGTAGGGTTCACAAGAACTTGGGTCAATGGCGTGCGTAGATATTTTGGGGGTTAGGTGCTCAAGTTGGGTGGTGGGGGGGAAGGAGAACCTTGTCAACAATATTAGTAGATTTTTCCTACACAATTTTCAATATCTCACAGCAAAATTTATATACTCACACAAAAAATACATACCTTTGTCTTTGATTTTATCTTTTATTTAAAAAAATAGATTGTCCAAATAAACTAATGTGAACGATTTGATGAATTTGAAACAGAATATGTGACGCATACACCATACCTGCAGACGTCTTCTGGGCACTACAGGGTCGGCTTACAGGCTTTTAATTCCAGAAATGCTACCGTGAGCCACACACTACACTGCTTAAAATAAATATATATTTTAAAAGGGCACTTTCCCCCTTCCCAAAAAGCAAAAAGGGCAGGTGCTCTAGCACCACCTAGTGACTGTCTGTGCACTTCCTTGGCCAGGATACAGCTGATTTGGCTCAGTCAGTGCTTAGATATTTTTTAGGAAATTAGGTTTTATAATCAGCCTTCTGAGTACATTTTAAACAATATAATTCAGACAATACCCATACTGTATATTCAGTTCACATCATCTTATTTGCTAAAATACTCTTTATTCAAGCTCTAAAAACTTTTCTGACGCCAAACGGGTTCACCTTAATGAGTAAAAACTGAGCGTGGTTTCACACTTGGACTGATGCTGTGATGTATATTTTTAGCCTCGACATGTCACAGAATTGCACTACTACAATGTCAAAAGAATGAAGAGCTATTCATGAACTATTGCCTCATGTTGTACGACACCCTGCGATTGCAGACAGGCTCGAGTTCTTGACTTTCATTGTTGCGTTTAATGAATCTGATCAGTTCAAGCCAAGTGCACTGGTAATATGGCTTTTATTTACCAGCTAAATGTAATGAGTTGCTGCAACCTTAAGAGCGGTGCCAAGTAGAAGGAGAAGAAGGAAAAGAAAACAGTTGGAGCATTAATTCAGGAACGGGCTGAAATATTTTGCTCCTGCTGTTGGCCCTGAAGAAGAGGACACCTTTAACACAAATCGTATTTTTGCATCCAGCTGGTCTCTGAAGTTAGAACTCCAATCTGGAAATGATATCACACCCCACTTGAGCTATGTTACAGTTTTCAAAAGTAAAAAAAAAAAAATCTATACAATACAGTACTGTGGTTTTAACTCTTTGAGACAGAAAACAAAGCACAAGGTGTTTCGGTTGTAGCACGGAAAACCAGTGAGATGTAATGATTGTTGTTGCACAGTGTCCATGTTAGACTTTAGCAGCATCAGAATGGCCGATAAAGCCATAGCAACAGGCTCACTAACTGCAGTAATGAGGAGCAAACAGTCAGAAGTGCAGAGGAGCAGCTTTTTACCGTCACTACATTCACCACGAAATCCAGTGTGGCTGGCTTCATTTTGCTCCAATTGAATTTTCCAATTTGGAAAATTGGAAACCTGGGAACTCTGGCCTCGTCTTAGCTTTAAACGAAGCATTCTGTCAAGTTCTGTGTGGAACTCAGGCCAAGATCCAGTGGACACCACTTTAGGTAAAACCAGCATATCTGCCATGAAAAGACAGTTATTGCTAAAGTACAAACAATTAAATTCTACAGAAAACATCACCTGAAGTTTGAAAAAGTACATTTAAGAAGAGTATATTTATTTGGAACTTTTAACATTCGTGCCATGTTTCCACTGACTGAAAATAATATTTAAAAATATTTTTAAATGACCCAGTCAGGTTTCCTGAAGAAAGAAACCTAAAGATAAGGGTGACGGCAAAGAGCGTTATCAGAAGCCAACTTAGTTGAATGAAAACAATTAAATCTAAATCTCTCAATGGTATAAGTGTTTCTTGACTTATACTGTCAAATAATACAGTCAGGACTCAAAATGCAACAAATGCAGTTGTCTCTTGCCAAACTGTCCATATTGATCTTTTGGACTATTAGAAAATAAACAGAAGCAGACATGACTAAGAAGTAGCAACAGCATACCTGTCTACCCAAAACATCTCCTCTATAAGGGAGGGACACCAATCTTCTTAATCATATTGACAAGTTCAGTTTATTACGATTCTATACTTATCCTTACGGGGTCAGAAAAGAGGCTGGTGGCCATCTCCAGCGTTTTTAAGCTGTAATGAATAGTCTTCTATAGCTGAGTTCAAAATGAAGAGTGAATGGCTTTCAATCTGTTTTCATTTTGGTTATCAGTGGTGTGCACAGTACACTGTAGAGTTCAGTCAGGGATTTGAAATATTCATGAGGGATTTATTTAAAATTGACCTGTAATGTTGTATTTTCTTTTTCTTTCTTGACGTGCACGTCCTACTTCTGACGAGCCACCTGCAGGTTAATTAAACCCAAGCTTTTCTGAAACGGCTTCTTCTTTTGATTTTTGCTCTGTCCCTCACTTGTCTCCTCACATCTCTTTTCCTCTTTCCTGTGCTCCTTCTGTTCTCCTTTCATCAGTGCTACAGTTAAGACTTCAGCAGAGGAGGACGCGAGAGCAGCTGGCAGACCAGGGCATCATGCCTCGTGAGTAACGTTTTCCAACTCTGAGCTGCCTCGCACTCATGAACACATGCACACACACCTTTCTGCCCCCATGCTTTTGTTGTCTCTAAGTAGTAATGGAGAAAGAAGTAGGGAACCTTCACTCCACACTTAACCTCAGCGATACTTCACAGGCCATTCTGATGTATTCCTACTTGATTCCTGACCAGAAGGCACACATAGTCTCTCTAGTGTGTTCTGGGTTGCCTCTGGAGTCTCCTCGTAGTAAGATGTGCCTGGAAGACCTCTATGGAGTTAGATTTGTTTCACAATTATTCAATTAAAAAAAATCATGTCAAACAAAAGGAGTAGTATTCAATCAACAAAAAAATCATGTAGAACAAAAAAAAACTTAAACTTTTTAATCATAAAAATAATTTTTTACGAAAAAAAAATTTTGAAAGATTTTTTTTGATTGAAGTCACAAATTTTTTGATTGAAACTTTTTTTTTTTTTTTGGGTTGAAACTTTTTAATCTGGGAAAAAAAGGGAGAAATAACGTTAACATTACAGGGAATAAAGCATGTCTATATGGGATTTATAGAAATATGGAACAAATCGTGTCCCGTACCGGTTCAATACGGGACACAACATTTAAACAGCCAAATACGGGTTGGGTGGCAACCCTATAGCACTTCAGCTGATGCTAACATTAGCTAGCCTGATATACTAAACCGGGAGCGCAGCACACAAGATATAGCAACTGTCCTCATAAACTGCATAAGACGTTATTCTCTGAATAAAGCATGGACACTTAGTAGCTGTTAATCAGTGTAATATTGTGAAGATTACTTATAATTTGATTTCTGCTACAGCGGCAAGCAAATGGCGGAGAAGTTCTGGGAAGGGAAACCTCACAGTCTGTCGCTTCAGTCACGCTCGTCCTTAAGCCCCCGCCCAGAATGTTCATGTAGCTTCGCCAAAGTTGTATAAGCAAGAAAACGAGTTCAACCAAAAAAAAAAGTTTCCACAAAAAAAAAAAAAAAAACTCAACCAAAAAAAAGTTTTGTTTTGATTGAATACTACTTTTTTTTGTTTGACATGATTTTTTTTTTATTTGATTGAATAATTGTGAAACAAATCTAACTCCATAGACCTCCAAAGCGAGGCATGCAGTTTGCATCCTGATCAGATGGTATCTTTACAGGAGCAGCTGCTCCATTTCAAGACATGGCTGATGGAGCTCCTTACCTTAACTCTAAGACAGTCTGGTCTAAAGTTACTCTCAGCCATTTTCTATCCAAGACCTTGTTCTTTCATTTATAACCCATACCTCACGATCATAAGAGTAAGGGTTGGTAGGTAGGTAATGTCCCAGGGAGGAGATGTTGTGAATGACATGCGTCTTCAGTCTCACATGAAGTACCAGGACATCTCTGAAGTGGCGGACTGCAGTTGTGGTCTAGATAAAGATGTCCAGAGATTGTTCTTCAATTCCCAATACAGAGGGTGTTCACTGACAAATCAGGCTACTCAGCTATTCTGGTAACGTTTACTCAACATTGTTTGGAATCTGACTGTTTAACCTTTGATTCAGGATGATGGTTTGGCTTTCAACCGAAAGTTGGGGAACTAGGATGACCTTTATCTTCATGGAAGTGGTTGTGGAGTTTAGTTGGTAATATATACTTTTTAAAGAAGCATTTGGTTCCATTGGTGTCTTTAAGTCATAACCTACAGTGAACACTGCAGCATATGCACCCAAGTGAGGAACAGCCCTGATGATAATCAGGACCTTTTGAGTCTGAGGCTATTGTCAACCAAATCAAGGGGGACTGCTCCCTCTAGGAGTCTCTTCCACAAACAAAGAAGTGAATGAATCTTGGTGTCCTGTTAGAATGGAGCTTGGTGTGGATAGATGGATTAAAGCTTTGTGTGCAGTAACTCAGGTGTTTCAATAACAGGTTAATGTTATTGAAGAAAAATCTGAGCCAAAACTTTGAAGTTCTAGGTTGGATGGTGAGCTCTTTTTGTATTTGGGCTTAGGCAATTTAAGTCTCAACCATCCATTGAATGACACTACAGAAAGCAGCTGATCTGGAAGCTGATCTCAAATGATTCAGACCAACATTAAAGTAAGCCAACTTGTGAATTGGATTTGGCCAAGTTATACATGCTGGTGGCCAGGTACTTGTGTTGCTAATGTGTATATATAACAGTGTTACCCTTAAAATTTAATGGGAGGCACTTCTGTAATTTCCAAGTCAGGATAATCATATACCTCACATCTTTGAAACTAAAAACTAGGCAAGTTACATGAGTCTCAGCAAAGCTGATGTTGTCAAAAGACATTCACTGCAGAATTAGGGGAGGTAAGTGACGTTGTTGATGTTCATTTTCAGAATAACTGGTACATTTAAGCAAAATTTATCGGGTGACAGGACTATTGATGGCTACAGATAAAGCAGGTGGATGTATTCATCCTGACAGGCTGCAAGCAGGCAGGTCGGTGAGTGACCGCCGAGGAATGCTCTCGTGATGGAAGAATCTCTCTGCATCAGAAGAGGCTGCAACTGTTAGGGGCTTAATTCAGAGAGCGGGAGAGAACCTGTTTACAGGGCCGTGCGCCATCAAAGAGAAGGCACGCCCGAGCACGACAACGTGCAGAGAAAGCTGCCATTTACAAGGCGAAGGCTTTGTTCTTTTAATGTCACATAAGTCCCAGCTATGATGACATGCAGGCCTGCGTGCTCCGAGTATTCTCCTAAATCCTCGCAGTTCCTGCGATTTATGGGGCCTCGTAATCCTCAGATCACTGAGACACCGCAGTGTTCACAGGTATTCTGTTTAGTTTTGACTGCCAGCAACCAGGCGAATGAAAACGTGGAGTTTTCTTTAATATTCATGAGAAAGTAGACCGAGACATGACACGGCAGAGAACTGCATGTACTATCGCCTTGAAGCAGAATTCAAGCCTCTTGAACTGTCTCACATTTTGTCGTGACACAAACTTCATGGTACTTTTTCAAGCTAATGTAAAGAAGTATTCTATTTGTCAATGTTACTCTAAAGCAACAAAATCTTGTATTTGCAAACATGGCAGCAGCGATGAGAAAGGCCAGTGCATTAGACCTTTCTTTCCTCCCATGCAGAATCAACAAGGTGACTGGGGGACATGGGTAGCAGACCAGGGATTTGTTGAATGATATCTCTGGCACCGTTTGCCATTTCACAGAGGCTCCAACCTCCAGATAAAGCCCTAGTAAGTGTGCGGGGGAACGGAATCCAGAGGTCCGGCTAGGCCCTATCAGTTTCTAGGAGTCTGTCACAGATAAGGCAACAAGGGGAAACGCAATTGGTCGACGGGAACTCGAGCTCTCTTTTAAAAAAGAAATTTCAATTGGCTGTTTATCTCTCTCGGTTGCAGGGAAGTGAGTTGGCGCTGTTTGTACTTTCCTTTCACTCAGGCCGTAGATTCCTTATCGACCGTTCCTACAGAATTCTGTCAATGGCACCGAAAGTAAGACGTTCCGAAAGGCGACGGCGGTACGGTCCTCCTCCTGTTGCCGCTTCTGTAGATGTGAATCTTCAAACGCTGGCTGCCTCAGCCTAGCTGTGTTATTCCTGCTGGGGAAGATGGACACGGCACAGGGTCTGTGTATACATTACCCAGGGAACATCTGGTGTTTATTAGACTATTCAAGAATCCGCCCCAGCCTCTCAGGCCTGACCGGCGTGTGGCCTGCATAGAAGCACACTGTCTCCCTGCTGGCCTCAGGTCTGACTCCACACACACATCCAATCTAATATTTCCTCATAAAGATAATAGAGCCGTAGCTGGCTGCAGGTTTACGGTGCTTTTTCCTGCTTGTGCCTTAAGATCCTCGTCTCCACGGCGGGGATGCTTTAAACCTGGATGGAGACACTTTTCGCCCATCCAGCTTCCCTCTCACTGTCATTCAGCTGGCATACAGTGCTGCGAAAACGTATTTGCCCCCTCACAGATTTCTTCTGCCGTTGCTTTTGTTTGTCATGACAACATTTTTCAGATCACCAAAAACATAAATAAATTATTACGGGAAAACCAGGCCCTTTATGACACTTCTGATAAACAGTGAGAAGTTCTAAAGGAATTTAGATCCACTCTTTGTTATAGAAATATTTTAACTCGGACACATTTAAGGGCTTTCTGGAATTAACTTCCTGATATGCCATGCCACAACATCTCAGTCATATTTAATGAAAGACTTTGACTACACCTCTCCAACCTCTTCTTTTTCCTTTCAATCTCAGTTTCTGAGGTGGACTTATTCATGCGCTTTGGGTTTTCTAAGATTAAGGTCACAAACTGACCACTGTTAATCAACTTTTAACTAGTGCCTCACTTACTAATTTCAGAAGAAAAAGCATTCACATTCTTTCAATCAATTGTTTGGTCACCAATGCTTGCTGCAGACTTTGTTCTATTTTAACCTTTCAACCTTTACAGCATTCAGCTCTGTCAGCAGATGTGCGTTATAACTTTCGGAGACTTTTGTACATCTTGCAAAGCAACTTGAATTATTATTCATGCTTAATTGTAAAATTTTACATGTTTGAATGCTGCTGCTAATTTCTGCAATTTAAACTTGCATTATCTGCTTCATTGGAGCTCATTATGCGTTATAGGAAATTTGTTTTTCCTCCTTTCATGATTTGGACTGAATTCTAAATTGTTTTGAATAATATTGCTTTTTCTTTTTAAAACGTTTCACAAATTATTCTGCAGTACAATGATCCTTTGTATTGTTTCCCTTTTCCCAATACATTCATATTTTTGTATGTCCACTTCCTTGTTGTCTCTACTTCTTTCATATCATTGATGCATCTTTTTACATTTTTCAATGGTCTGTCCTGACATATAATTGTTTCCTGTCAAATAATAAATCTGGTTTTAGATCTGAAAAAAATCTTCACATAGCTGTCGGTTTACCATAGGTCTGCATTCATTTCTGTCATCATTCTATTTTCTAGCTCTGTCTTTGTAGACGGCAATGCAAAGCAGGTTTAATTGCACATCACAAATTGGCGCTGTTAGCCAATGTCGCTAACTTTATTTGATTCTTTTATTAAATGGGTTTAGCTTTTTTGTTGTGATTAATTAGGTTTTACATGTATAGAACACAGACAGCATTGTAGAGAAGTGGTTAACAGAACAAAATTAGCCATGGTTTTCTAAAAATCTCCAGTTATACTGAGGTTGAATGCTGGAACCCAGATGTGGTTACTTCACACTCCACTCTCTGGAAACAACCATAGACCAGTGGTTAGAGACACAAGCATCCTGAGGAGAAAAGCCTGGACTATTGATCTCCTGGAAATTGTAAATGTCTGATCTGAGTGAGACATAAAGTACAATATTTGCTTTATCTGAAGTTTAATAATTCTTATCACACGCCATTCTTATTTTAGATGATTTTTTTGTGTGTGTTACTTTCAAATAAAGTATTTCATACCTGATGAAGTTTTCATTAAACAGTAATATTCCACCTTAGATGTCCAGAAGCTCCATATCTCTCATTTCTTCTTGGCCCACAATCCCGTCTCATCCCTCTGAAATCTCCAACTAAAATCATATTTGACCAAATAAGTGCGTTTGTTCTTTTATGCACTCGGATAATCAAACTGATTTAGTTTCTCAGCTCTCTGCTGGATAATCACTCAGCCTGGCGAATGCCGCAGATTGAACGGAGGCCATGCCAGGTTCTCGCTGGCCCTGATTATTTACCTTGGATTTAACAGAGAGAGAGAGTCTGTGGAAGATTCAGAATCTCACCAACCTCAACCCTTTAATTACCACCTCTCCATTTATTTTTCTACCACTCAAAGTGTTTGAAGGACTCACATTAGAACTGATCCAGCACAGGAACATTGATTGATGGGGGAAATCAAAGGACTGGACGTGTGGAGTGTGTAAACTGACGAGTGCATAAAATGACCTTTTCTTTAATATATGACATTTTTTGTACATTACAAAACATTTTTAGGATTCTGTTTGGCATTCTGCAGTATACTACAATGTTTATTAAAAATTAGCATTAGCTTAATTTCAGCATTCATTCTTTGATAGAAGTCTATCCGCATTTCACAACATCTTCCCGCTCTGCCCGCTAACGTTCCTCAAACCTTTCGAATTGAGAGAACATCTCTTGTCCACAACCCTCTTCAGGCAACCCCACAAATTTGCTGTCAGATATACTTCTGAACTTTGGCTAGGTCAATCAATATGTTGATTTGGATTTATGCTTGCTCTTATTAGGAAGTGTTGCTGACATCCTCTTTGTAGCCTCGTTGAGCGGTTTTTTCCTTTTCTTCCTCCAGTTTCAGTACTGTCGCTGTTCTTCCATGTTTTCTTAAATTATTGATGACTTTTTTTGTACCTGAGCTCAAAGGAGGCGCTGAGGTTCCCAGATCAGACATATACCTCACCTTGACTGCCTTGAGCTCCTATCTTTGAATGCCAAACCAAACCAGACTGGAGACAAACAGAAGGAATAGACTGGACTTTGCGATGCGAAGCCCTTGCTTTGGGTGTTAAAAATAATAAAAAAAGACAATAAAAGGCTAATTTGTGGGTCTTCTCATTCACAGTCGTAGATGGACTGGTCAAAACGCAAAGCAAACTTTCCAAAGGAGTCTCAAAGCATGAACACTACCCAGTCAGCTACTCCAGAGTTGTTGTCCCAGGCGTCCATGATATGAAGAAGACATTGGAAGAAGACTCATTACTTTTATGTTCATTCATATGATCTTGATGTCTTACTCTGCGTTATCTTGATCTCCCCTTTGACAACTCCTCTCTGGAAACTCTAGTTAGACTAAATCAAATTAAGTTTGCTGAGGAAATTACTAAGAAATGGCCTTTGGGCATGGCCCCCCACAGCAGGCAGAAATAAACATTATACCTTCAGTCAAGAAAGGTATTGCTGTGGGATCTAGCATATGAGCTTTTTGTGACTCCACAGTTGGGTGTCGGGCATCTTTCGAGTTCATCTCCCTTTGTAAAAGATCTTCGTCGGAACAACAGCGTACTGCTGTCGGTGTACAGACTAGATAGATGCAGGTTTTAGAAGCACACTAGATGAACTATAAAGCATATAAGAACGAGATCTTTTATTTTCCTTTGATACCGTATTAGATGAGTGACGTAATCTGTTGTAGCTATTGGGTAAAATATTCAAAAGATTCGCCCAGTAGTGCATCCTTTATTGGTTTTACCCATTTCTGTTTTCTTCCCTATTTTTAGGAAAGAGAAAACTGTTCAAAACAGGAATTATTTCCAGTTCAGGTTAAATCGTCAGTATTTGCAGATTCACCTGTAGATGTTTATTTGTGCTAAGATGGCTTCCACTTGTTTATCAATTCACATTAAAGTATATTTGTGTTTGAACTATTAAAATAGGCAGTCACAGGGAAAAGACACCATCTGTAAATTTTAATGGCATCACCACTGAGATTTGTCCGGAACCTTGAGTCTTAGTCATCACATTGCTTGGCTCTGGTCCTCCTAACACCACAGCACGTTGTGTAAAGGAGCCAAAGTGCTGCAGGCAGCTGGAGGACAGTGGAGGAGGAGGAGAGCTGCCTTTACTAAGACAGGCAGCAGCTGTATTTGCTTCCAGTCTTTTTCTGAAGAAATGTTCTCAAGCTTGAGTACGTACTTGTGCAGACATACCTGCGTGTGTGTTTACGTATGACCTCGGCCAAACTTCAGCTTTCTCTGGTTCCAGAAATGCACCTACAATTAAGGCACATGACAGAGACGGGCTGTTGCGCCCGCAGGATGAACCTTTCACCTAAAAGCTCTCTGTCTTCAGAGCCAACACTCCCATCCATTGGTTTGACCTCTGTCCGACAGATTTAGAAACGGTGCAAGCGCTAAGCCGGTCACTTAAAAAGTGGAAGTGTCAGCAGCGTGCCGGTTTCCTGTAATTCTGCCAACTCAATCTCCCGGTGACATGAAAATTACGTTAAACAGTCACAGAGGCGGGGACAACAGTGTGTCTGAGTGCTGAGAGTTAAACGTGAACAGGTGGGAGGAAATAGCCCTAAGTACAATGCTATGTACTGAGCAGTGTATTCAGCTTTGTGTGTATTGGTGTGTGTCTACTACAAGGTCATCGAGTTGCACAGAGTGGGCCTGGTGCTGTGACTGAAACCAGGGTCTGTTCCAGCCTTGTCACATGTTTGGATACAAAAAGACAATCTTGTACCCCTTTACACAGGCACTCACACACACGCACATACACATACAGGACAACCTGTACCATTTCCCTTCTTCTGGCTTTGTGCCTTCAGCTCTGTCTGATAGCTGCTGCCAGCTCCAATCAAAGCTCTGCTCCTTATCTGATGGGCCAATCAGCTTCATGGCAGAACTAAAGTAGGTTGTGTTGATCCCACATCCGGGCAACGTAACACCTCGAGTCTGACGTGTGGTAGTAGGTGTCAGTGACAGACTTAAACCAGCCAGATATGCTGGTTGTGATGTAGAACGATTAGAATACTGGGCCCCTGTGCTGGAAGACCGCACATCTTGTTTTCCCTAAAATATACTCTCGATTACATGCTTGAGGAAAATATTGGCTCTGCAACGATTATTATTTTACACCCAAATCATTAACATCTTAAGGTGACTGTTGCACTCTTACTTTGCTGGGTTGATTTAAGACAACAGGGTTGAGGTATGGATTTGACACAGCATGCTAGGTTAGAGTTTCAACCCAGAAACGGTTTTGAAGGTTGTAACTTTCAGGGTACCAAAGAGTGGCTTGTTAAGACTTAACAGCAATCAGGAAGCTAAAGCAATACATATACATATTTGGTCCATCAATCCGCTCTCTCCCCCTGGGAACCTTTTCATCCCCCGGTCCATATGAAACTTATTGGTTATAGGTCAGAATTTCTTGGGTGTGCTGAGTCCGACTATGCTGGGCCCTTAATGTGGCAACGAGCCCCCAACTGCCATTGTTCTACACTTCCAGTTAGTTACCTGAAAGAAATTTCCTACACTTTTCCTTAACCTACCTTTGTACAGGGAGAACATAAAATGTGCACACAGAACATTGCTGAAAACTGCTCTATTACATCTAATACATCTATGTTTAAGCCAGAATGTTTACTGTTATGGTTCATAAATGTATAAAATGCTTCAAAAACAATACTTAAAACACGACAACCTTTGTTTACTTTTCTCCAGATGCCAGATTTACAGCTAGTGTAAGAGTAATTGTATCATTTAAGTGTAATGGAAGCAGTTTTAACAAAATCTCAGTAGTCGCCTTTGTACAACTATCATTTCAGCTTCTATTGTACTCTAGAGCAGTATAAAGTACAAATAAACATTCTGCCATAATTACTTTGTGACAATTACACTCCCCTCAGCCCCTGAAGGGCATTTACTTCTCCACCTGTTCAGAGTTAAACTGAAATTAACTGGCTCTCCTCTCATTATTGGAGCTGTTGCCAATAGAGTTGCTCTAGTTTCCGGCTCACTTGACAGAGAAAACAAATGTTAAGGGTTAGACAAATTTTATAGCTCAGATCTGTGGAGTATTCCTGTGGTCCGTCTCACTTCTGATAATGTGGTCGTTTACAATTAATCTGATCCTGGAGTCACGCAATTTCTTTTCTCCCTGGTGAGTTAGTACCGACATTGTTTAACCCTAACCAAAAATGTTGCATCATGGATGCAGATGTAATCTTCACGTGCTAACTGATCGCTAACTGTTCCTCCCACAGTGAACCATGGCAAGTTCCCCAAGCAGGAGGACTCGTATGCCTTTGAGGAGGACAGCAGCAGCGAGAGTCTGTCTCCGGAGCAGAACCACAGTGATGAGTCACAGGGCTCAGCCTGCCCTTCATCTGACGCCGTCGGCAGTACGGCCTCCTCCTCCTCCTCACCTGCCCTCACCAGCCCACGACAGGTACAACCCATTGCTTTGCCTGTCTTTTTCCATCCCTCCATCAGTCTCTTGCCAGTACCTTCTCACATTCGTGCCTCTACTGCCCTCCTGTGGTGACAGAGTGAAGTCCACTACCCTAACTGTTAAACTGGATTTCGATGTATTGATGCCAACAATGGTAACAAGAAATAAGAAATGTAGCTGACTAGGATACTTTATGTGAAACTTGCAATCAAGGAGTTGCACTTATGGCTGATTCATGTTGAAAAATACTTCTGAATACTTTTACAGTGCTTACATAGAAGCGAAGATGTATAAAAACAGGTGCTTACTAGTGATCTTTTCCCAAAATATATGTTAGTGTCATTCGTTCTGCTCAGTAGATTTCTGCCGCTTGTTGTTGGGGTTTTTTCCCACTTAATTCCTGTCTCCTAAATACTCAATAAAAGCCCGACTAATTATTCTAAACGTCTTTGATGAAATATAAATGAATGATTTCTAATTTTAATCTTAGTCCCATGTCAAGCTTTATATGTTTTCTACAAAAAAAATGATCCATGGAGGTATTTTATTAATCCAAAGAGTAGAGCTGCACAATATGTCAAATCACATTTGTCATTGCAATATCAATACATATAGATGGGTGTGGTATTTTCACAGGGTAGTGCAACCAGAGGCCCGCCAGACCAAAGCCAGGAAGAAGGCCTGTCTTCCCCTAACACCAACCAGGTAGCTCCACCAATACCGGTTCCTGCAATAGTCAAGGTTAGCAATCTTTGAATCTTGTTGTCATCGTCCTTTTGACGTGCCAACCGACCAGTTTCGCTTCCCTTTTCTGAACAGTCCAAGACGTCGGACAAGAACCGACATAAGAAGCCCAAAGATGTGAAGCCAAAAGTAAAGAAGCTCAAGTACCACCAGTACATTCCTCCAGACCAAAAGGTGGAGAAGTCTCCTCCGCCCATGGACTCAGCCTACGCCCGACTCCTGCAGCAGCAGCAGCTGTTCTTGCAGCTTCAGATCCTCAGCCAGCAGAAACATACTCACACACATTCACAGATGCAGCAGCCACAACAGCAGCACATACACTCCATGCAGGCCCATGCCCAGCAGAGACAGCCCACCTTCAGCTACCAGCCTCAGCTGCCAGCCAGCACCCAGAAGTAAGTCACACCACTTACAAAATTGACCTCTGCCATTGAAAGACGTCAGATTGGAGATGATGTCCAATAAAGACTAGCTACATAAGACTGGCTATTTTGTTGTTCATAACGAAACCTTATGTTTTTCCCAGAGATTGATCTGTTTCAATGTTCTGTTTCCAGGGGCAACAGTGAGCACGTGCCATCTTGCGCCTCTAGTGGTCCTGCCAGCAACTCAAACAGCAACTCCTCTTCTCCAGTCAAGAACACATTTCCCAATCAAAACAACGTTTCACCTGTCAAAGTTGGTCCACTACCTGCTAATCTGGATGACCTTAAAGTAAGTCTTATTAGCAATTAAAAGTCAAAGTGTTGGTGCAGTATGTAACTTTTACAAAAATATGGTTTTTACATATTTGTTAAAACTATCACCATGTTGTGACGGTACGGTGTGAGACAGAATCTTTGAAACAGATGCAGCTCCACCACCTCCTTCCAGTGCTCCTATTGCCATATGCAAAATGCACCGCTCCTGATCAAAAACAACCAATCAGAGTCAGCAGGAGTGTCTTAGCATTGTCAGTCATGCACGTTTATGTGGAGAACAAACTTACTGTTATAGGAAAACTTTTTATCCACCATCATCGCTGGCCATTCTAACTAGTCTGAGTTTTGTTATTTTACAGTCAGGTCATAATGAAAGTTTTATATGTAAAGAAAAAAAAACTTATTTTTTTTCTAAAAAAGTTACATGCTTTAATTTTAACAGTTATTCTGTATTTATATTGTTTCTATATTTTGTCTTGCAAGGTTTCCGAGCTCAGGCAACACTTGCGCATTCGCGGCATGCCTGTTTCAGGGACCAAACAGGCCCTCATCGAACGACTCCGGCCCTTTAGGGACTCCAACGCGGACTCCTCACCGTCAGGGTCCTCCGACATCACAACTTTAACTTTTCCAGTCACACCCACTGGTTCCCTGTCTTCCTACCAGTCCCCATCTTCCTCCAGCAATCTGTCGCAGGGAGGATACTTTCCCTTCCCAAGTACCTCTTCCACGCCGCCCATCTCTCCAGCCTCCTCTGATCTGTCTCTCAGCGGCTCCCTCCCAGACAGCTTCAGTGATGTGCCAATGTCCTCTCCAAACCAGTTCAACCTGCAGCCATCCCCGACCCAAACTGCCATAGAGGATGGCCTGGGTGCAGGAGGAGGAGGTGCCAGGGTGTGTGGAGGGAACCAGAGAGTGGGAGAGGACGAAAGGAATGATGGAAGTCTGGAAGCTGAAAAAGATAAGATGCTGGTGGAGAAGCAGAGGGTCATCGAGGAGCTGACGTGGAAATTGCACCAGGAGCAAAGACAGGTGAGGAACTCCCTAATGAGATGTTGTACTTTACCAATACCGATATTAACCGGTCGCACTTTGACCAATCCACCTCTGATCATACTTGCTAGGTTGAAGAACTGAAAATGCAACTTCACAAGAGGAAACGCTCCTTTGGAGCGACTGAGGACGCCATCCCTCCACTGCCTCACTCCTCAATGCTTCACCAACAGCAGGCCACACCTATGATGGGCCAGCATTTTCTGGGGGTGACAATCAAGCAAGAGCCTATGTCCTTGTCCTCTAGTTGTCCCTTGTCTTCGTCCAAGCAGCTCAAGAGCCCTCCTGGCAGCTGCATGGACGATATGGGGTGCTGCAACAATCCCATACCAAATCTAGGGGGTGGTCCTGGTGGGCCACAATGCATGGACACAGACCCTTCCTCTGCCAGCCCCTCCACCATGTCAGCCTTTCTGAGTCCCCAGTGTTCTCCGCAAGATTCTCCTGTCGGAAAACCCACCAGCAGCTCCCAGCCTCCGTCGCCTAATAGCCCCTACCTGCTGTCTCCTCTGCTGGGGAGAGACAGTTGTGGACACCCCCGTGGACAAGGCAGAGGTCACAACATGCAGGTACAAAGTACACCCTAAACACAAAGCTAGTACTCAAAGCACATTCATGAATCAGAATGGCTCATTCAGTGATCGCCATGAGAAAATCATTCACAAAACGTGAAGGACGTTACAGGGAAGCTAAAGAGACCCAAAGAAATCTTTATCTGTAAAACATTTTGGAAACCATGTATAATCTTAACTTTCACTTCAGTGAAGTGCTTCTTTGTGTTAATCTTTCACATGAAATACTCCAAAATTCTTGGAAGTTTGTTGAAACATGACAAAATCTGGAAAGTGATATACTTTTTAAACTTCAACAAATAATTTTACAGAATGGTTGTTTCCATTTATGAGCCTTTCTTCTATGAACTCTAAATCTTTGATTGATCTAATTGATTGTCGTTACATCCTGCCTGCTGCAGGTGCAGCAGAGGACTGGTAGCCAGCCGTTAAACTGCTCTTATCCTTCGGACCAAAGAAGCCTTCAGGCTGCATTTCCCAGCTCACCTGACTGTGGTCTTAACCACAGCGGCCCCATCAAGGCCGAGAGTCAGAATATGCAACCAAAGGTAAAGGTGTAAAAGATCTGAATGTTTGTCTTGTTGTGACATTAGTCAGGTTGTGTTATCTAACTGAATCACCTCCCATCCATGCCGTTTCCTCCTTCTCTTTGTTCATTTCTGACCTGTCTCTGAATTGTCTCCTTGGTATGAGGCTCATTGTCCCTCTTCTCATATCTGTTACATGTTATCACACTCTTTTACACGAGTAAACCCATTTGAAACGCCAATTAATCTTTACATAACAACTGTGACGAGGTTACTCAGACGTGGAGCCCTAATTTCTGGTGTTTCTTCTGCATCTCTAACTTCGTGAGCTCCCCTACCACATGCTAATGACACTTTTCACTTATTTCTCATATAGATGTCAGCATTGCCATCTTCCCGGCATGTTGGCCAAAAGTGCCAGGTCTCCCCCCCTGCCTTCAGTAGCTCAGATTCAGATGCATCTGACTTAAGACAGCCCCCATGCTATGAGGATGCAGTGAAGCAGGTAAACTCAATTCTATGCTAAAAGAAAATTAGTGGAGTTTGCTGGCCAGGGAATTCATTTAAATTTGTGCAGTTCCAATTACAGTTTTCTTCTCTCTTTTCTTGTTTTTGTGTCTCAGACAATCCATCACTTTTGTCTCACCTGTTTGTCCCAATCATTGCTTCTATCACTGCATGAACATTCAAACCCTTCTGACAAGTCTGAAACAAGATTTTTCCTAAAGATTGAGTTTGCAAAGTTGCCAGGAAACATGCATGTTTTTGTGTAAATTCTCTTTAGTTGTCTTATCAAAAATACTAGATAATATAAAATCCAAATAAGAAAAAATAAAGTCTTACTCATTTACACTCTTGGAGCTACATTCAGTGAGAGCCAAAGAAAATAAATGGAGCTTCTGGATTTGCTGCTTTGAAAAACTCCAGCCAATAGCATGTGAAGTAACATCACACCTTGGTAATTCAGCTTCCCATGCTGCATTTAATTTCAAATATTTTAGATGAGCTCTCCGTAAAAACCACAAATAATTTGGAGTTTCGTTCCACAGACATAGACATCAGATACAGATCTGCAAATAGGCGGGGGTCCACTATACAGGGCACTGAAATATGTGGACATATGTCCCTACAACATTTGGGATATTTATTTTACTTGCACTAGATTCACTAAATACTGGTGACCTGCCAGGGTGTACAACCCCTCTTGCCCGTGGAGAAAGGCACCAGCACCCAGCACTAGTAAACCAGGAATCTTCAAACCTAGTCACCAACGGCCGGTACCATGTAACTTTTACAGATGTCCCTTGTCAAACGCACCTGAATCAAATGGAAGATTTACATCCTTTGTATCCAGGCAAGTTCTCCAAAGACCTGCTAATGACGTGGTTATTTGACACAGATGTGTTGAAGCAGAACCAGTCCTTGAGCACTGGATTTGAAGACTCCAGTACTAGATCATTGGTTACCAGTAGCATGCTTCACAAAGAGACATTGTTTAATGTATTTCCAGTGGAAACCATCAGAACCTGCTTCAAGAATTTATTTTGACTTATATTGAGGTCCAATTTACAACCATTTTCATTAGGGATACATGTATAAAAAATTTGGACTGATACACACACAAATATCAACCAGAAGGAAATAAAAGTTGGTTGATAATATCGGCCCAGTTTTACTTAAACCGATATCGATAAGTTAAAAAAATTACTAAAAATCGGTTGATAACGTTGTTGATGCCGATATATCATGCTTCCTTAATTTTCATGCTTCTCCTCTGAAGGTTTAAGGGACTTCTGGAGCTTATAATGGGAAATTATTGAATGCACTCACGTCAAAGCTGAGTGATTCAAACAGCTGATTGATAAGAATTTCTCTCTATTGCACTTTCAGCAAATGACCCGGAGTCAGCAGATGGATGAACTGTTGGACGTGCTCATAGAAAGTGGAGGTAAGCAGAATGTCTGTTTAGCTTTTAGAAAGTCTAGTCGCCCCCAAAATTAGTCCTGGGAGTAAAAACAGCTTGTAAATCTGATGTAAAACACCAGACAAAAAAATAAAATCTGAGTTTTATGGGAAATGTTGGCATCCACTTCCTCGAAATGCTAAGACAATCCATCCTTTCCTTTCTCCTTAAGAGATGCCAGCTAACGCAAGAGAAGAGAGGGAGAGGTCCTCTGTAACACAAGTTGTGCCTCACATTACTGTGTCCCCAGGGTGTCCCGGCCTCCTCATCCCAAGGTTCCACTGGCACTACGAGCACCTGTCCCCCAACCAGATACCCTACGACCATGCTGCCAATCACGCCACCGAGAGCCACCTGCAGACTCTGCTGGGTAACCCTATGGGACGGGGAGGGGAGATGGGGCTCCTTAAAATGGCCACCGAGGATGGACACCAGGAAGAGGAAGGGAACAGAGACGCCGAAGAGTACAGCAGCCTCCACAGCCACCACTGCCGCCCCCAACATTCCCAGCAGGACAAACTCCAGACCAACAGAGATCGTCTAGACACGCCTCTGTCACCTGGTAGCAGTAAGGTGTTCGCCGTCCCTGAGGTCCAGGGGATGGTCAGCATGGCCTTTAGCGAGACGCCGTGGGAAACCATGGAGTGGCTGGACCTGACGCCTCCCAGTTCCGCGACTGCTTTCGGCGGCGCTGCTCAGCCCAGTGCACCCAGTATCTTTAACACAGAGTTCCTGGATGTGACGGACATTAACTTGAACTCTGCCATGGACCTTCAACTGGAGCATTGGTGAAAGCAATAATGCCAACATTAATACCAAAGAACTATTGAATTCTTCCCTAGATGGCTTTAGTCTAAGTGTGAGAAGTTCCTCTTTGCTGTCGTACAGTGGAATATTATTTTGTTTAGTCGTCTGAAGTTTGACAGCCTAAAGAGATGTTATGACATTTTATCTTGAATCTTAACTTTACTGAACTTATTTTCCACCAATGTCATCGTAACCAAAAAGAAAAAACCCAGGTGCTTTTTGATACAATTTGTGTCCATTTTGAACATTGATGCGCACAACTGTCACTGAGTTGAGGACTGACAGTGGACACGTGTAGTACTTTCTGTACGCACCATCAGTGTTACACCACCTAGACTTGAAGACGGAATTTGCCAATCACTGCATACCTACAGAGTGAATATTTGTGTTACTGGAAAAAAAGAAAGAAAAATCCCCCAAAAAGACTAACAAGAATATCTGGATTTCATAGAAGCGGCCAAATTGTAAATATCACAACAGTTTTGGAAAATCTCACATCTACATGCTGTTGTCAAAAGTGTGGGAGAGAGTACAACTCAAAAATGAAGTGTATAATACAACCTTTGATGTAAATATGGTACATATATATATATATATAAAAACCTCACAGAGCACCTCTTGCTTAATACACATTTGTCACAGTTTGCTTGAGCTTTGAATATAGGAATGGTTGTTGTTTTTTATACATATCTACAGTTTCTGACATATTTATGTTCATATGTTCAGGAAGACATAAAGGGGAAAGCGATGTCTGAGGAATCTTTGGTCTTATCAGTTTAAACCAAGAGACAAACTGTGCCTTACCTGCAAAACATGCTTATGAATAAAAATTCCCAGCTTTTTACTGATGACTCTACAAAAGCTAAGAGGCATTTTAAAAGCTACAAAAAGTCATCTTAAAAAAAAGAGATAATTTTATATGTAATTTTTGTCCTCTTAAATTGCAACATCTCTATTTCAAAGTTGATCACATTTATTTATTTTGTGATTTTGTATTTATACTTGATGTTGTATTTATGCTGACATTCCTTTGATACTTTCTTGATGTAACCAAAAATTATATATATTTTTTGGACCACTGACTCTTTTAGGCTAAGCAGTTTCAAAATGTGAGGAAAAGCGAAGAAGCCGACCTAAAAAGCCACATTATCTCAAATGACAATTATCGATTGTGTGAACCGTCCATTGTAAGCACTTGTGAATAGAAAAAAAATGTAATATATTCAAATCTTAACTGTGAATATTTCTAAAAACTCCCCCTACAGCCAGCAGACATATTGGTCTGCTCAACATGACTCAGATCAGTAATGTTCTGAACACTCTAAAAAGTAAGAGTTTGAATTTCTATAGTATCTTCTGAATGTATTGAAAGAAAATACACGAAGATACCTGTATGTCTTCTAAATATGTAGCATCATCCACAAAGCAATGTCAAGGCTATACAACATTGTCAATCCCATAATATTCCAAAGTTCTTGCAGCAGAAAGCAAATTTTTACACATATTGTATAAAAATACAATAATTTTTATTTCTATTGTCTGACATTTATGCATTTGGTACCTGGGCCTTCATAGGGACTTTGCTGATTTAATCCACCACTATGGCCTTACAAGTATACAAACCACCAACACTATAGTATAGTAAACAAAAAACGCAATATAACAGGGTTCAGGTATTACAAAGGTTTGTTCAGTCCTTACATAAACGTTAGTATTGGATTTTCGGATTTCAAGTATCCTGGTCTAAATGCAACATCCAAACCACGTATTTAAATGCGTCCTGACGTGATTTAAATACCACGTCCTAAATACGTGGTATTTAGGACCACGTGAATCCTAAATACCTGAGCCCTATCCAATTAAATATAGAGAGAAGATATATAGATATAAGTGGGTCGACATAATTTGCAGCACCGTTTGTTTATCAATTAGCCTAATAATTAATTATGAGTTTTTCACCTTTTGTGAGTGAATACTATTGTTATAACAAAAAAAAATCTAGTTTGGACACTTCCAAACATCTGCACTACATCCAATTGTCCCCCCAAAAAAAACAAAAGTAAAGCACATAATACTCACTCAGTTGCAGATTATTTCTTCACAGACAAAATACATCTTCTTCTTTTTGCGAAGACAAACTTCAATCACGTTTCAGTTCCATCAACAAGTCCTTCTCTATGGCCTTGTATTTTTGACAAATCCTAGCCATTTAATAAAGTGGTACCGCTCACGCCTGAGACTTCCCGGTCTTCGCGATATCAAGTTGTTCAGAAAAAGTCTGCCATGAAAATTTATATTTCTTCTTTTATCATGAGAGCAGATGAGCTTCTGCATCTTCTTAAGACATTGGATACAAAATAAAAATAATTTCACACACATTAACAAGAGCAACATAGTTTCCTGGCGATGTGCTTTGCTAGCAAAACTTGACGATTTTGCTACAGCTTCACTCTGACCGTCCAATCAGACGGCGGAAAACCTCTGACACCACTTCAAGCAAGTGTTGTGAATCAGCGAACCTGAAAGCTGATTGGTTAAAAGAACCGTTCTGTTCGTTTACTGGACGTAAACCTGTTGTACAGATTCTGATTGGACGCAACCCCGATAATCCACGCCGACTTGTAGGAGAAGCCTTGCAGCCAAGTGAGACGTTGTTAACAAACAACAAAAAACGTCTCACTTAAATAAGTTTTATAAAATTTTTGGAAGTAAATTAATAAAATTTAATTGAACAAAAGTTAGAATTTGGGTTGTGAACATCTTAGGGATTCTGATAGGCCTGAAGAGAAGGCTTTATTGGCTCTGTCGGCCCACCGCTGCTATTGCTATTGTTTGCAAAGCAGCTAATACAGGAAGGAGCGTTTATTTTTCCTCTGTGCTGATTGGTTGTACTCACAAGAGCTGAAATAATGAAGAGTAAATATTAACTTCTGTGCCTGGTAATGAATATTATGGTATATTTGGTGTGTGAATGATTAAAATACGCAGATATTTTTTATAAGGAGTCTGATATTCTTGGGGTCCAGCTACAGCTACAGCTACAGGGTAGGGACCACTGCGGCCTAACCCCTGCAAATACCAGATGTCCACCTTATACTTTATGTTCGATTCCCTCTTCTTCCCGCAAATGTAACAAAAAATCGTTATGGCCAACTTTTCGATTTTAGTTTCTCCTTAGTCCATGGCATGTCTCCAAAAATTAAGGCCTTTACAAATTGTAGTGTTTTTCTTTAATCTCCTTTTTGGAACAATGACTCTGAGTGGCCTTTCAAAATGTGAATAATATCTCACCAGATTCAGACAGCATCTTCACAATGTATTTTTTTAATTTTATTTTATTTTATTTTAACTTTTGTTAAAAGTCAGGCTCATGTTACCCAAAAATTAACCTTTCTTGTAGAGGTCCATAACTCTCTTCTAGGTATCTTGGCTGATTTCTTTAGTTTCTTTTTCATGATGTCACACAAGGGAGTAATGTTCTTGGAGGGATTGGCTTAAACTGCATTCAATTATACTTGGATATGAATATATCTGAAGCTCATAAAGCCTTGACATTACCATCTGGTCTTTTTTAAAGTAAATAAAATAATAACCTTGGTGTGCATAAACCTCTGAATTTGATGAAAGTGATAAAATAAAATCCCAAAAGTCATCATTATTGCATTTAGCTAATATAAATAATTGTAATCCTAACTTACCTTAAAGGTTCAGTTGTATTGAATGTCAGAGAATTGTTTTTCTTTTTATACAATGTGCATATCTCTGGTTTCAACATTGTATATCTGGTGAAAACCCCTAGAAGGCATAACCAAGGTCTGTAAATGACGAGGTGGCCAAAAAAAAAGCACTAACCGAAATTAAAATGCAGCTTGACAAATTTCTAGTCATAATTTCTATAAACTATTTTAACGATTTTATTTGACACAATGTGGTTATATATCAATGTGTGGGAAGCATTGGTTTAGAGCCAAAAGGGACATTTTGGGCAAGTTTGGTTGTTTGGATGATGGAAAAGACATGTAGAACATTTGCGATGGAAAAATTTTAATAATTCAGTGTGAATCATAAATTCCAGACAGAACTGCTGGCTGGAAATTCAAGCCATAAATGCTCTTGAACTTAAACTGCTATCACATTTTATCTATGACTTCTTAGCTTTTAGCTTTAACAAGGAGTTAATTAATTTGACCTGACATTATTAAAATGCTAATATAAGGTTAAATATAGATGTAAATTATAGGTTTGAAACTTGATTTAGACATCCGCTAAGCTAAGCTCTCATTTATATTGTATATTTGAAAATATAAAGATCTGGGACTTGTAGGTAAACCCGTCCTGGCTGCTTTAGGAATGCTAATTAGCAATTAGCTAGGAATTAGCATTCCTAAAGCAGCTAGCACAGGTGTCTCTTCTCTTTTTGTTGGAGAAGACACAGCAAATAATCCCCAAATATGTTGACTTTGATGGGGCTAAATTTAATCTACTTTTTGCACTCATCAGACCTTTCCATTTAACATTCCAAATTAAATCCAATTCACCATCACCCTCTGTTTTATTTGCCAAAACTATCTTTGCTAGGAAATCTGTCCCATTCTTGATTTTTTTTTCCAAACAAGTATGACTCAATATAAAGGTATAACTTTAGTAAAAGTGTATTATTTAAGATGTTTGAATTTGGGCGAGAAACTGACAGGATTTATTTTTGTTATCCATAACATCCTGTATCTGCAGTCATTGCCACTTTGACATAGTTCTGTATAGTTCCCCATGCATTTTTTGGTAAATGGATGAAGAAACGGTATTGGAGCTGCTTTTCTTTTCCATTCCAGAGCCTCATGAAAGTCTAACAACAGATGTAATCAGAGTGACGGCCAAAGGTGCGTCCTGAAAGATGAATTTTCAGGTTCCAAGCTGGGGGCTGGGGGAAAACCCTACTGTAATGACCTCGAAACTCCAAAACATATCCAATATGGCTGACCTGAGTAAGAAAGTTGCTTACTCTTAAGATGTTTGTTTGCCTTTCTGATGGCTTTCAGTGTCAATAATTCAGTCAGACATGTATTTGTGAACATGTGCCATTATTGTCTGATTTTTGAAAGCTGTTAATCCTGAGATCCAAACTAAGAGTCGAGTAATAATGTACAGCATTATCCTTGAGTCGGATATTGAACTGTTGCTGCCATAAATACGAAGCAGAAATGAAAGTGAAAATATGTGTATGACAAGTCTACTCTGTAAAATCAGGTTTGACTTTATCATTTTTGACCGTTTTACGCTTTACCTATGGACATGTTTAATGGTTTACACGGTTTGATTCCATCACATTCAAAGTTGTTCTCACGTTCTGTCTTAAATATGTTTTCCAGTCCTGTTCACCCATCTGGCCTTATTCGCAATAATTCCCCTTATTCAAGGCCAAAAAAAAAAAAAAAAAAAAAAAAAAACATCTGACAGAAGCTTCCATGTTGCTTGGCCACCAACTTGCCTTTTGTCTATTGTTATAAAAAAAAGAGGGTATTGTGGATTTATTTCTGTATACAGCTGAAAGAGCAATAAAAATGATCACAGCTAAGTATTTTCAGTTTTTTTTTTATTCGTGTTCCTAAGCAGCACACAAGACAGACACATTTTCAGTCTTTTTCATGGGGAACTTTAATTGTAACCCTCAATAAACATACATTATAATATTCATTGCCCTTAATATCATCTTATATTCTAATATCAACATTCTGGTAAATTGCAATTTGTACAACATGCGTTTCCAGCTTCCTGGAAACGCATCATCCTGTGACAAACCCCGCAGATCTGCAGGGAAAACGGCGCCATCTACTGCCACTCCGGAAGGAGACAGGAGTACAAGGCCTGACAAGAACTCCTTATGACAGAATTTAATCTGGTGGTTGTAATGTTTTGCTTTCCCGAACAGGTAAAAAAACAAAACAAAAAAAACAAACAAAAAAAAAGACCGTTCACTGTTCCTAACGAAATGACCCGATGTACACCCGCACAATGGGAGGTATGGCACAGCTAACAGCTGTAGAGACCCATAATAAACCAAATGTATGCATTTTCATTGACTATCATAATGTAACGACACCAGTGATACTTCAACAGACTGATAATATTTAACTAATCTTGTAAATTGTTATAGTTGAATTGTACAACCATTTAACTGAGCATACAGCCCATTTCTAACATCATGCAGGGTGCTGGTATGGTTTTATCCGCTACATTCTTACTATTAAAGCACCATTAAAGTATTTGAAACATTTCTTTTGGCTCAACGCCACTGAAAAAAAAACAGATGTGACTCAGATAAACTCCCAAAACAATAAAATAACCTCATTAAGAATAATACTCATTAAGAATAAGATGATGGATCTCTACAGTGTTGCGTGAAGTGTTTTGTTAAGAAGCTACCTCCTTGAAGTCTGACTGTTCTTCTCAGGTCTTCGTAGTCAGACCTGTCCTGGGACACCACGACACGATTGGGTCAAACAAATCGATAGGCGAGGAAATGGCACGATGGGGTTCAGCCCCCGACGCATGCTGAATCACTGGAGGACATGCAGGCTCCAGGGTGACCTGAGGGGTCAAAGGGCGGGAGACGAAGCGAGGAGGGTCTTTCCTCCTCTCAACAGTTGTGGTATGGAAGTTGGTAGCATGTGATTAGCAGCATTTTACCGTTGTTCCGTCTATTTCTTTAATTTGACAGAAAGAAGCTGTCAGAACATGTGCAGCTGTAGTTACTACTGCATGCCTGTGGGTGGCAGCATGGAGGATCTGTGATCATGATGTGTGAGTTTGACTGTACAGTGCTAAGACAGGCTGTTGAGGAGAAACAACAAACAAACAAAAAAAAAAACAGTCTATATGGTAACATTTCTCAGTACGAAGCCACATCTCCTCTCCTGTCTGACATGATGACCATGTTTTCGGAAAGAGCCTTAAAAGATCTGAGCAGAACCTGCCAAGAACAGCAGGTGAGGTTGGCTATATACATATCTATTTACATCAGTGAAAACAACATCCGAAAGTAACGTTACACCAGGCATTGTAGCATTGGATTAACTTCAGGTTTGATTCTCTGTGTGTGTTGCCTTATTGTTTTAGTCACAGAACTAAGCGTCTTCCTGTTTCAGAAATCAGCTGGTGATAATGTTCATGAAGATATATGAGCGTGTCTCTCAAGTAGAACCTTATTTATTTACAAAAAATGCACTAATATTTATAGAACAGAGTTTGTGGTCTAACAAGGAGGAAACTGTATGATTTTTGCTAAATTAGCAAAACATATCAGTTTATAATGTATTTATCTGTTAGGTGTGACAGCTTTAGCTAGCTAACAGTTAGCTAAAATTTCTGTTAGCTAGAACTTGTATCTGGGTTAGCTAGCCGTTTGCTACAGCTAGTTAGGCCTCTTGTTAGCTAGCTGTTTGCTACAGCTAGTTAGGCCTCTTGTTAGCTAGCTGTTTGCTACAGCTAGTTAGGCCTCTTGTTAGCTAGCTGTGACAAAATAAACAAAAGCACTATTAGTATGGATTATTTTCCTTTGAACTATATTTATATAAAAACAGTAAACATACTTTTTTCTTTGTCTGGTACTCCATGACGCAAGTATGTCTTAAACTGTAACTTATGGTATTTTTGATAGCCAGTCAAATGTAAATCTGTTTAAAAAGGAATTTATATAACACTGGCAAGCTAATAACTTTTGGTAGTTTTAAATTATTAATGTATATATTCCATGTCAATGTACAAGTAGCACCTGTTCTCAGAAAAAACAGGCCTTTGGTTGTTTTTTTTTTGTTTTTGTTTTTTTTTTTTTTTACATTTTTTTGGTTAAATGTTTGGTTTTCAATGCTTTGCAAGTTTCTTTGGATAAAAAGTAACAATTGCAGGTCACCTATTTAATCAGTTTGAAAAAATATCAATCAAAGATCCAAAGATTAACAGCTTTACATGTAACAAACCTAAACATTAAATCATGTGTCAACTGTTAGGCGCTTTCCTTTACGAAAAGTTTATGCAGAAATAGGATTTAGCAACATGTTGTATAAAAGGATTAACATCGCAGAAAGCTCCTAATTTCAACATTAGCTGAATTTATCTTACACAAAAGTCTTTTAGAATAAACTCCTTCTCTTTTTGGCAAAGTTTCTTGTACGACAATGCTGTTTCTTTTCTGTCTCTCACCCGGTAATTCAGCTTACCCGACTGTGTGCACCTTGTTTTGAGCGGTTAGCATCAATAGTTAACTGAAAATGTTCTTCTGGAATAGTACATACCTAGTTAAGTGACTTAAACAAAAAGGTCAAAGCTCACACACTGAGCCCAGCACTGCAGTAGGTGTAAGAAGATAAAACATTTAAGACAAGCCGTCACAGATTGCATATTGAAAAAAAAAAAAGTAAAGCCACGCTACCATAAGCTTTCAGAAAAAAAACATTTGCATACCCATTCATTGACTGTGTGTGAAGATGCTCACAGCAAAACGTGTGTGATTTTTAGACAGAAGATCTATCAGCAATAATCCATACAAGTTGTCATTTTAGGCAAAGACAAATATGCAGACAACGTACAATCTGTTAGGTTGCTGTTTTGTTCATACATCATAAGCTCCACACAATTTCATTTGGTAGATTTTTGTGAACAAGTTCAAGTATATATATATATATATATATATATATATATATATATATATATATATATACTCTATTCTTTGTGTCACATAAAAAGATGCATTGCGCTTTACTAAGACAAAGTTGCTGCTTCAAGTTTCTCTGCTTTAATGTGGAAGAGATTATTTTGGGATCTTAAAATGACTGGGAAATGTTTCTTCTTTTGTGGGGGGGATTTTCATCTCATTGCACTGGGAAGTTTGGATTTAATTCCTTTGTTCTTTGGAACGTGTGAACAAACATGTGATCCTACATAACTGAAGGCTAAGTTGACAAGCGTCGCATCACAAAGCTTAGTGTACCACCCCGCTGGACGTTAAGGGACCCCTCCGTCCTCCGCCGATGGGAACGCTCTTCTTGGCATCAGTCGACGTACATAGGGGAGACGGGCGAGGCGGGGATCTGATCCAGGATGCGACACACGTAGCTGGCCACGTCCACGAAGCGCTCCTCGTACATCAGAATAAACGGATGTTTCTGGGAGAGAAGAGGCAAGAAGCTTCAGGCTCGTTTGGCTGTCGCTGAGATCAAAACGGCTCCAGGTTTGGTGAATGAATTTTGGGTTAAATATGGCCTAAATGCCTACAGAAAGTCATTGAGGGTGTAAGTGTTTGTAATTGTGCCCCAGTTTCTCTATTTTGGATATTTATTCCTTTGTTTTTGAGAAGAAAAACTATTGTTCTACATGATTGTACCAGCAGGTGGTGATAAGCAGGTGGTGATAATTCAACAATAATAACCTAAAAAAAATTCAAAAGAAGTTCCTGAGAATGGCTAAAGGAGTGCTAGGCTGGGTCAAAAATGACCCCAAAACTACTTAAGTTCCTGTTTTTCCCCCTCACACTGCACGGCCTTCCTTTTCTATCACTTCTTCAGCTCACAAGTTTTACCAAATATTTTGTGACATCTTCAAGTTCACAAGTTGAACTAAAGAAACGAAAGGATAAAACAAAAACAAAAACAGTTTAGCCTTTTACAACAGAAAATATTTCAATTTATGACCAAACTCTTTTCAGTCCAGCTCCTGAACAAACCTAACAAAGCTAATGAAAGGGCACTCACCAGAAGCTCCCGGTACTTTGGCCTCTTTGACTCGTCTTTAGTAAGGCTGCACAAAAAAAAAGAAAAAAAAAGAGCTGATTATCCATCACCGTAAGCAGAGCTCAGGTCAGATTTCACATGCCGGAAACTGAAAAGGCACGGAAGGAAAGCGGGAGGCGTTTCCGGGGAAAAAAATCTGACCCTAAAATCACCGGCATCCATTTTTTTGTTCTGGGGAAGCTAAAAACAAAACGAGGCAAAACTGTTTCCTGCAGTGACACCCACCATAGGTTAACGAAGTTGATGAACTTCGGGGAGAACTGCCTCTCCTCTGAGTTACTGAGCTGTGGAGGCTCTCCTTTCACCACTTGTGTCAGCTGATCAAAAACACTATTCCACTTGGGGTACGGGAATCTCCCTGTGGCTAACTCATACTGGAAGAAAAAAAAACAGTATGAGCAACACTCCCTGGCCTCGTTTGAGCTGCAGTTTAAAGTCAGATCTGGAGATCTTATCGGTTACCAAGGTGATTCCCAAGCTCCAAACGTCGGAGCGGACGTCGTAGCCCTGCCTGGAAGCACTGGGGTCTATCCTTTCAGGCTGGCAAAAAAAAGGCAAACATTCACACAAAACAGGTTAGATAGGGTGGTTTTCTTTAGGTTTTTATTTTAGCTTAATTACTCGATAGCTAGATCAGTTGTGAATTCAAAAACATTGTAATTGTAAGAGAAAATAATCACATTTTGACACTTAACGCTTTCCTCAGTAGAGAATTTGGTTTAAATATGTAGATTTGATCTTTTGTTCCAGATTGTAAGATTTTTCAGTCAATTCACTGAACAAGAACAACTGGCTAATTTCAGATAAACACTAGTTAAGGCCAGGGAAACTATTAAATTAGGCCAAAGCAAATTACACCTGTTACAATGTATTATTTTTCCTTATAGTTTTGATAGTAAAACACATTAAAAAGCTTAAAAAATTTAATCTCTCCTCGTCTGAAAATCTCTAAGGTGTGTTTATTGCTGAATAAACGGGCCCAACTTTTATTTACGCACATTAAACAAGCCACAAATTTAGTTGAAGGTTAAGTGGTTGGCACTTACTGCCATGTAAGGCCTGCAGCCTGCATCTCTCGTCTTGGCTATGGAATCCACCAGCTGGCCGCTGATGCCGAAGTCACACAGTTTGATATTTCCCCTTCTGTCCATCAGAATGTTGGAAGGTTTGATGTCTGCCAAGACGGAGAAAGTGAGTCAATTTGATAGAAATTAAAGCCAACGTCAGGTACTGGAGCTAAAAACTAAACACAACTCTTACCTCTGTGAATTATTTTCAAGTTTTCTTTTAAGTGATTCAGTGCTTTAACGGTCTGTAAAAAAAATAATAAAAAAAATAAAAAAAATCAAACCTTCAGGTCATTTTCTTCATGAATTGTTCTGTGTTGTAAGGAGAAAAACGTGATACGGTTGCTTACAGCTAATGTTATTTTGCCTAATATTTCCTCTGGAATGACATCATCTAATACGCAATATACATATTTGTAGAATTTGTCTAATGAGGTAGACATAAGCTCCATGCAAATCCAACAGTCCCCCTGAAAAAAAAACAAGAAGAGAAGAAATTTTACAACAGCAGGAAATATATGAACGTTAACTTTTTTTAGCAAAGTATATTTTAAAGATTAAAGGGGCAGTATTATGTGTCTTACAGGAAAATAGTGCCATTTTATAACATAATCAAGTAACTGTGTTAACTTAAGATGTTAAAAAAAAGTCCTCTTTATGTCAACTATGACAAAAGAAATTTTACATCCTCATTTAATGCCTTGAAATTAGGCCTCTGTCTCTTTAAGAACTCCTGCTCTTTCTGAAACTCCGCCTCCAGGAAGTCATCACAACATGTCAAGCTTAGAAACAAGCTTGGAAGATCACAAAAAAAAAAAAATGTTGGAAGATCACAACAATCTTCGAAGCTGCAGCTCTGAGGAGGAGCTGCGACTCAAAGGCAGCTCCTCCTCAGTGGGCTAGGTCCACTCAGGCGTTGCCATGGAGATTAAAGAATTTCTTAAACATTAATGAAAGTATCAAGGCAACACTCCAGGTGTGTCTTTGATGAGGGAATAACATTACAACATGATGTAAAGCTAAAAAACAAAAAATAGTCGATTTTACATGATACTGCCCCTTTAAGTGAGATCACAGTGGATTTCCCAGACCTCTCTGAAGAGGGCGCCGTAGAACTGGACGATGTAGGCACAGTCGCTACTCCTCATCACCACGTCCAGGTCCATCAGCAGCTGCTTCTGCTCCTTCTCGTCCACAGTGGAGCGAATCCTCTGAGGGGGAATTGACACAGACACACGGTCAGCTATACGAACTGAAAACGTCCAGATCACATCACACGGACGTCTTGCCGCGGTCGGCGTGAATCACCTTGACTGCCATGATCTGGCCCGTTGGTTTGTGGACCATCTTGTTGACGGAGCCGTAGGCGCCGCGGCCGATCTCCCCGAGGTCCCTCAGGTCCTCCGCGGTGAAGTCGCAGTGCTGCTCCGGGGAGATCTTCAGCTTCCCAGACGACTCGATGCTGTGTGTCCGCAGGCGCTCTCTGCACGAACGGAGGCGGGCGCGGTTAGCCACCAAGCACAGAACACGAGAAAACAGAGGCCAGACGATGACGAAGAAGGAAGAAATTAAAAAAAAAAAAAAAAAAAAGCAAATACTGAAAAACCAGATCCGTTGCTGTAGTCGAACTCGCTTAGTTTTAACAGTTTGGAGTCTTATCATGATGTCATCAGCATTTGCTTTATTGTAAAGTCACAAACTTTATTTATAAACTCTGTTTTAAACAGCCGCTGTGTACGTGAAGCCTTTTTACCAGATCCTGATTAAAGACTTTAGTTTTTATAACGTTAAGCCGCCGTCTGAGTTTATAAATTCAGCTGAAAGCAACAAAAAGACACCAGTGGAACATTGGTCCAACGTTGAGACCAACTTTTTTTGTTGAACCTTTGTATTTTTATTATCTTAAGGTATAAATGCAGGGACTTTAAGCTAATTATTTGAAAGACTTTAATCAGAATCTGTTAAAAAACATTTTTTTTCATTCTGGCAGAGAATACCATAAAATATTCACTTGTATGCTCTAGATCAGGGATCTGCAACATTTACAAAGCAAAAAGCTGGTTTTTGCCCTCAGTCCAGCTAATTAAAACTTGTTACATAACTTTTAGTGGAAAAACAACTTCAAAAAATTTTAATGGATATCTACTATATTGAAATTTGTGGTAATTTTTTAAAAGGCCATTATATTCCTGTTTTTAGGTTTTAAAACAAAGAAAAACATCAAACATTTACCGAAAAGAGGATTGATACATTTTCTTCTATGGGATGTTGACGTTTGTAGGAAATTATGGAAACAAAAAACACTAAAAAAAAAAAACGATACAATAATGAGAAAAAACATAACCGATATGTCAGATCATTCTGTCCTAAACAGCCAGAAAAGCTACTAAAATTTGCATTTGTTATATCTGTATTAAAAAAAAAAAGTTGGTTCTGAACTTTTTTTTTAGCCAAATTATCATTAAGCGAGTTCAGGATTTAGCACTAAAACCAATTAGGTAAAATAATAAATAAAAAAAAATACTTTGTTTGCAAAAACTGCTAAACGATAATTAAGTTATTAGCATTGCTTTGGCCAATGGAAAAAGAATAAAGAGTTATCTTCAGAAAGTGTCTCTTCATAGTGAATTTCTCAGGCTGAGATTGGCATTGGCACAAAAGCTACCACTAGAGGGCACCCTCTGTCACAAACTGTAATTAAGTAAAAGGAAGTAAATATATATATATATATATATATATATATATTTTTTTTTTTTTTTTTTTAAGCCTTCATGGCTTCCCAGCCTTGACTTACATGTGAGGATTCTGGAACGATGGAGCCGTGGGATGAAGCGGGAGCCTGGAGGTCGGCTTCACCGGAGGGTTGGCGAAATTTAACTTTAGAGCTTTACGTTTGCCTGGTTGGCAGAGAGAGAGAAAGAGAGAAACACATCCAGATTGCCACAACATGCACGCCACACAGAGTGGGAGGGAGGTCACCCAGATGATGCCAACAGCCGAAACAGGCACATCTCAATACATTAGAGCAGAACCAGTGATTTAAATAAAACATGAAACTCTTCATTGCACACAGTCTGAATTACGTTATTGCTGTTCTTTTTGGTGATTAAGGCTCACAACTCATGAAAAGTAGCCGTTATATTACACAAAATGTATTTTCAATACAATACAATTCAATGCTCTCCTTTAGTCTTTAGTCTTACTCAGAATTGGGAGGGTCTTAAGATAACATGTCTGTCATAAAAATCATTAAATTTTAGGTTTCTGCAGTATTCAGAGAAACAAAACGTTTCGCTTTCTGTGAACTGTAATGATGAAAATGAATAGAAATGATTGATCTGTGTGCAATGAAGTCATGTACATGAGTTATTAAAATGAAATGAAATGTTTGATGATTAAGCAACTGATTAATCGCATGATATAATGAAGTAAGCTAGATTATTTTCATTCTATCGATTCATATTTTTTCAAGGGCAATTTTGTTTACCTGGAATTCACAGTTATGGTTTCGGGAGTCTGACGACTTTATTTCCTTTTTATTCGTTGTTTTTGGTTGTGCTTTATCTTTTCCAACTCCAATATGAAGGGTTCTTTATAAAACTTTAACAGTTTTATCACTTGAAAATTGTCTCAAATCAACAATATTATCATTTATCGCAATATTTTCTGGGGCACTTTATCGCCCGGCAAAATTTTTTATTGTGACAAGTCTATTGAGGATATTCTAATGTATTGAGATGTATCTGTGTACAGAGTGCAGCATAATGCGTGTCTTGACTTGAGATAAGCCCAAATAACCAAATGCCCAATAAGCAATATACAAAGAAACAAATATTTGGGGTTATCTGAAGCTCCTCATGAGGTCAGAAGAAGGAACAGAAGCAGAATGTCCCTGTGTACAGAGGTTCCCAATGTTCACAAACTTCTATGAAAACTCAAACAAATGGCATGCAGTGTGTGTTCATGTTATTGGAAAAACACTGGGGTGACATTGGAAATCCCTGTTCGATTAAAATATGCAAGAACCCCCAAACAGCTCCCGTTTTTTTTTTTTTTCCTTCTACCAAAGCGTTCCCACCACTCAAACAGCACCGTTGACTCGACACTTTGACTGGACTCGGGTGAATTTTAACACCGCCGGGATGAAGGTGTCGCTTTCAGGTGCCGAGGTTAAGTGCTGGGTCCTCTTTGCCATGCCGTGTCCGACCAGCTAGAGCGCAAACGGATCCCTTAAGCTTTAAGCCCCCAGTGCAAAAGGAATGTTTGGTGGCCGTGTTGAGAGACTTCCCACCCCACCACTAGCTTCCCACCCGACTACCAGAACACCACACAGGCTCCTTCAGTAGCATACAGTGGTCCCTTCTGAACCCGGTTTGGATGTTGGTATCAGAAGCATTTGGCTCACTGGACGGGGTGGAAACCACTTTAGACTACTGACGTGTTCCAACATAGAGTAGAAGTCGGTGTGCTTTGAGTGAAACTCTTAGTGCTTACTTTGGGGCACTCCGGACAGGCTTATCTGAAACCCTGAAGTAAAAGGGGGGGAAAAAGGCAGTGTTTTTACTACATTTTCTCAGGGCCTACGTCAACGTAAGTGGGTTGTTTTTCAGCAAATCTGGGTGCTGGAAGTGGAATATAGGGCAGGTTACAGTGGGTCTGCTATATACGTGTGTGTGGGACCAGAGAAAACAGAGAACTGATGCTAGTTTTGAATTATTTTTTTTTGTCAGCTTCAGACCAAAAATGAAGCATTTGTCACGTTCCACTGGCAGATGACTTTCTGCTAAATAAAACGTTTCTGCTAAAAATTACCCCATTTGCTTGACATATGTCCATGTTTGAGACTCTTATTCTGAAGTAATAAAAGAAAGCAGGAAGCAGATTTTTCCAAAAGAAACAGAAAAGCAACAGAATTTTGCTAATTTAACATAATCGGTGCTTGTGCACCCCTATTTTGTTGTCGCCCTGGGCAACTGCCCCAGGTTCCCTATATCAACATAGATATATTTTGGAATATTTTGTTCATACTAATATTTTATTCTGGTTGGATCTCCCACTCATAAGCAAAGTCAGTTTTTGGTGAGAAAACCTGATATTTTTAGGATATTTCCAAATGGTTGGTGTGAGATATTTACGTGTAGAATGCTGAATGTGTTACAAAACACGTTAATATATTTTATGCTGATGAGTTTTCTATTCTTCTGTTATGGGTCATGATGCATTTGGTGATGTCAGCATCCTTTTGGAAATCTCAGAGTGGAAATAACGAAAAAAGAAAGAAGATATACAATGAGGAAAGCAAGGAAGGAAGGAAACAAACAAAGAAAAATTGAAGGAAGGATACAAAGAAGGAAGAAGGCACAAAGGAAGGATACAAGAACAGACGGAAGGAGGGAAGGACAAAAAAGAATAAGAGAAATAGAGAAAAACACAAGGAAGGAGAAACATATATTTTTAAATAATAGATAGGGTGAAAATAAAAAAGTCAGAGTAATTTATTTTTCCATGCTTATCCAGACCTGGAAAACAATAAAATCTCTCAGACTTTTCCAGACTGTGCAGGAACCTAGTTCAAAGTTTGTGAGCAACGACATGTGCCAGTGGAACCAGACTGGGAGTCTGTATGCTGGGAAGAGACGGTTCTCTCCAACAGATGCAGAGTGTCTATGAAGCAGACATTGTTGCTATCTGACGTGTACAATAATTTTTTTTTTTTTTTTCAAACTCCGGAACTCCGGATAAGGGACGGAAAAACATCCATAAATAAAACTCAGCAACATGCAGACAGGATGATAAGATGGAGATGATTTTTTTCCACAAATAAAAAGTGGAAGAAAAGGGAAAATTAATGATAGAGGATGGATAAGGAAAAGCTGAAGGAGTGTCTTGGCCAACAAATGGCCAACAAAAACAAAAATAACAAACACAGATCCTCTAAAAGAAGGCTAAATCCTTGGAAAATAAAAGTGAATACCTGTTTCATTTTGACATCTCCAGCAGGTGTTGGTTTCTGCAAGGTTTAGATAAAACATTTCACACTAGACATCGGTCACAGAGTAAGGACATGCAACTTAGATCTGTTCATCACAAGACTGCATCAGCAGCTGCCATAAACGCGTCCATTATGGGACAGGGGGTCTTTTTATGGAATTATGGTCAGAAGTTTGCATAAACTAATCAAGGGCATGGATGCAATAATATTTTCTGCCTTTAACAATTTATTTGAACTGATCTTTCAAACAAATTGAAAGACTTCTTGGATTTACCAATAATCACATTAATAGAAAGGCTGTGGCTATTTAAAAACGGTGAAGGAAGATTTTAGATTGGAAACTGCATTCAATTTGAAAGATTTCATTTTGTTAATCCTGCTACTTAGAGAGAGTTGCAGATAACAGGAAGGCTAAACAAATCCCAAAACCACCAAGTCGGTGCAGAGAAACTCATTTATGGTCAAATATCCAGCAAGAATTAGGCCAAAAGTTTGCAGACAGCTACAAAACGTGTGTGATGGAGGTGAATATACTAAGAATAGCATATATATGTATACTCTGTAACCTGGGTGAATCAGGGAAAATAAAAAAATGCTTTCAAACTTGTGCTTTTTAATACTCGCTTAAAAACCAATAATTTTAAGCATGAAATTAATAACTGCCCGTTGATTAATGCATGTGAACTTCTAAATAGAAATCTATTTCTCACTTTTGCGGGGTGGGATGGGGGGGAGAATAAGAAGAGCCAACCATGACAAATGAATAAGACTAGCTGGTTGCAACTTTTACCAACCCATGGTATGCTTCCTGTCCGATAATGGAACTTGCTTGCTAACTTGTGTTAGCTCGTGAGCGTGGCCGCGTCTAAACCCACTGTTTCATCAATTAGCAGCAAAGCACTCTTATAAGCAACAATGAACACACCGTTTGAGAACATTTATAATGCGAGTTATGTTAGTGCGTTTAATTTCGATAACTCCAAGTTGGGTTAGCAACACAAACGCTCAGGTCGTTCGTGACTAGTAGCATTTAAACAAGAGTTATGACTCAGCGAAAAATAACTAACTACGAGCAATACGTTTAGTGTTTGCCAAGCCTGGACGTAAGACTCGGACACTGACAGGGCTGTAATGTCACGGTGGCCTGCCTGGGAAGAGAAATTCATTTCACAGTAGGGCCTTGTGCTTGTTGTAGCAACAGTGTGCTAACAACATTGGAGTTAACGTCAGAACCGGGCTGAGTTCATCTTTACACTGAAAACTTCTGAATACAAACGACTAGTATCTTACAGTATAGAAACATTTCAATATATCCGAACAGGACTGTTTGCTTTAAAACTCAGTTGACCCTTCGACATCAGTTGCTAAAATAGTAGTCGTGTTAGTATTTGAGCCACTTCAAGCTAACCCAATCAGCCAGAGCGTAAGCGGAAACTACGCAAATAGACATTCAAAATAAAAGCCGCCGTTAAAGGCGTTCTTTGATATCTCTCAAATAAACACTAATATACACAATGTTCAACTTGCTTTTATTTTTAACAGAAAAAAAATTCTGATATATTTTTTGAATGTTATGATATACTGCTATAACATTCTAACTAGTGGTGATACTTTTAAGCATGGCACTGCAAAGAGTTTTAATGCACAGCATCTGAAATATAGTGTACTGAATATTACAAAGTCTTTGCACTCTGCATATTGATATTGTGCAGTTTTCACAGTTCAAACACTTTTGGCTACAATACTTATGTTTATATCTATGCTACATTTTGAGGTGTTTGGCGATTTTGCAAAGAAATAACAGTGCTCTGTCACCCACCCTGTACATTTTTATTTCATTTGTCATACAAGTCCTCTACATTTCTCATGACAAGATACGTATACGTATTTTATTTTGAACGTTATCACCGGAAACACAAATGTACATAAGTCCTATTTGACCACGGTGGGGAGGGGGGTTAGCTTCAGGGAAGCCACAAGCTATCTTTTCCGACTAAGTTGGCTATCTACGCTGGATACGGTAAAAGACCGAGAGAGTAGCCGTCAGCGCCTACCTTGCATGCTGCTGCTCTGTGTCTGTTGGTGAAGGTGATGCGACGTGGCCCCCAGAATATTGCCGGAGCCCGTGGAGTTGCCGTTCGGACTGGGAGTCGCCATTGTTGTGTTCCGGCTTGCAGCCAGCGCTCGGGCTGCAATGCAGAGAGTGAAACTTCGCCCTCCCCTGGCTGCCCTGCCTCCAGACGGGACCCTGCGTCACTTGAACGCAGCAACTGTACCACGGCCACGTCTGGGCCGCTGCTGCCTTTAAGGACGGTCGGAAATCCTAGTGAACACCAACTTATACTGAAACATGAATACTTTTTGACACAAGTCTTGTACTCTCTCTGTATAAAATTAACTTCTTTTTGAATAAATGTGGATGCCTTTATTTAAAATTTGCTGTACTAATCTTTGTGTCTTCTGGTTTATTTTATCCAAACAGAAGAATGACCAGAGCTTTTTATTTATACATATACACTATAGTTGTCTTTTTAATGTTGGGTTGTCAGCATTTAAAAAGACTGTGCAAGTCGAATCATGACCTCCAAAATGCAAGAGTAGACTTGCATGGGTTATCAGACAGGAGTCTTTTGGTCTTCTCTGGGTGGATGTGTCACGACAAGTGGTAAATCTGCGCTAAATCAGTCTGTTTGGGTTAACTTTATGTAAAACAACACCCAGCATTTTCCTTTTATTTCCAAATGCACATTATGGCACACAAAGAAAAAAAGTTGGGGGTTAACTTCCCCCCCCCCCCAATATATACCCCAAAACAATTCATTTTGCCACTTAGAAGTTCTGGAAAAACTATTTATAACCTTTGAGTATGTAGAAGCTCTGCAGGTTTCCTTCTAAAATGTGAAAATAACATACATAGTTTTTTAAATGTAAATTTCTTAGCAAAAGTTATTTGAGTTACTCTAATACATACTTGTAATAAACTGCAAACATAGTAGTGTGAATTTTTTTACCTCCATCAAATTACTGAAGCCCACCACTTAAAGTGAATTAATACATGTTTTAAAGTTACATTTAAAAGGTCACTCTTTTTACACCCATAAATGCAAAGAAAGGAAATACAAAATACATAAACACACTGTTGATGCACACCTCAACCTCCCACTCATATAAAAAAAGTTATGCAAGCAAATTCAAGAGAATGCATCACACACTGCCTCCATTCAACTGAACACTTATTATATAAATGTTTTTTGTTTATTATTATAGTCATGGATTTCCAGAGTAAATTCGAAGAGATCTGAGTTTAAGTCAGTGAATAACAACTCATTAGTAGAACCTCAGTTCTGTAAAGTGGGATACAAACCAACAGCAGCAACCATCATGAATTTCTTAAAAATATTCCTATATAAATAAATGTCCAAACATAATTATTTTCGATTCAAATTCAAGTACAAGACATTTTGGGAGACACTGCGTCTTTTCCACTTCATTTGTCGGTCTTCCGCTATGAGACGTACATCTCGTCAATTAAAGTGACCCAGAAAATCCGTCAGAAAATGTGCGGAACATTTTAATGACGTCACAGTTCCTCCCATATAGGCCGAGTCATCAGGAAAACAGAAACACCCGGTCCATGACCCTGCCGCTCCCCGTCAGCTCCATCCTGTCCGGGTAGACGGAGACCGTGGCGTAGGCGTCGCTGTCGGGTCGGGTCTCGATCACCCCGTCCAGCGTCAGGTGGTGCGCGCCTGTGTCCAGGCAGTAGCCGCCGTCGTGGGCGTGGCCAGCCATATAACACACCACGCAGCTGTGGGAGCGAATGATGGCCAGGAGTTCCTCTTGGTTCCACGCGAGGCAGACATAATCCGTGGTACCGGAGTGCACTGGAATGTGACCTAAGTAAAGACACAAGAGATATAAAGCATCTGGAATCACCTGCTACTTGGTTCTGTCTTCCGTGACTTTTAGCTGACCGTATTTTAGCTGCCTTTTAATCTGCCTGAGGAAAAAAGACTTTTAAAAGTTATTTTTTAAATAAATAAATAAATGGGGAAGGTGCCCCAGTCAAAATGTTAATTTCTTAGTAGCCAGATGGCACAAATCCCAGATTCATTTTATTTTTTGGTAAATTAGCAGCATTACAAAAAAAGGGAAAAAAAGAGAAAGAAAACAAAACAAAATAGGAATATACATTGCTGAGTTTATGAATAGGTGGGTTACCTATTCATAAACTCAGCAACCTACAGTAATGAAAGATAACCCTAATGTCCATATACATAAGTACGCATAAACACATTTATATTTAAATATGAATGTATTGCAACACATAGTCACATTACATGCATACATGTTTCCACAACACATACAAACTTTTATCATTTTACATTTTAAGGCTCTGTTAAAGAATCTCACAAAAAATGTAATCACTATTCAAGTATTTATTCATGCTAACTGAAAAACCTGTAGATTTTACTTGACTTTTCTCTTTAGCATGTTCAAATATTAACAAACCTCGCAAATTATATTTACTCTCTGTTAATTTAAATAATTTCTGAATTCCAGAAGGAAGACTTTTGTTCAATACTTTTTACAGTACTTCCAACATTTTTATATATACTAAGTGTTGAAAAGTATTGCTTTGATAAAATGTTTATCAGTTCACAATAACTGACTTTATTCATAAGCAAAAACAGCGTATTTAGTAATTTGGCTTATATGTCAAAATGTGATTTTTATTTGAATTTCTCCATATTTCTGAGCAATGTGACAAATGGGAACTGTTATCTAGAATGATCTCTAAATAATTTATCTTATAAACTATCCATTTAATCTCTACTTATATGCAACTTTACACTAATATCACTGAAGCCTGGTTCAAATTAAGCCAACAATAAGCGAAACTGTAAAGTGACAATAAAACTACCATAACCTCTGGCTACATAAGCCCTAGCTTCTCAGTGGCTTGTTAGTTAAGAGAAGAACGTGTGAGTCGCTTAGAAACAGGTTTCACTTACTGACAAGAGTAACTTTTTCTTGTTTCTCATCCGCCACAGACAGCACCAAGTCCAGCCAGTCCAGCTGTTCCTGGCTGAACCCGCCGTTGAACATCGTAAACCGACTGTGGCACTGCAACTCTGCGAAAAGGCACAGCAAATGTTGAAGTCCACGAATCACTTGGCTAGGCTGATTTGATATCTTTTTAATGTTTTTTTCATTTTGCTACGTTACAACCACAACCTTCTGAGGATTTTATACCACACAAAGTAGCACAGAAGGAAAATGGTGAAATGTAGAGCATATAGCAAACATGCGTAAGAATGTCCTGCTAGCAGAGATAAAAATTTAACTTTAACCTCTATCGCGAAATGCTGTGGGTGGAGGAAAGCTAACACCGCACATCAGCCTGTACACCAAAATAACAACGAAACATGGTGGTGGCTGCATAATGCTGTGGAACAGGTTTTTGTCAAGATGGATGGAACTATCCATCAGCCATCTTTTTTTTTTCTTCCACGCCATAATTATACACAACTTTGTGTGAGTCTGTCAAATAAAAAAAAAAATCTAAAATATTGCAGTTGGTCGTTGTAATGTGACAATAGCTGCGTTTCCATTACAGATATGCGCAAGTCCTTGTCGATATTCTGCTAATGTCGAAAAAGCACAATTTCGCAATTGCGGTGTTTCCTTTGAATTAAGAAATTAAATTAAAATCACACGTGAATAAGCCTGTTTACGCAATAAGTCATTAAAAATAATGGCAGCGATGGATGTAAATGGTTAAATGAGATATATCCATAATTCAGCCATTGCTCTAATGCTAACGCCATCAGGTGTAGGAGCAACAAGCCGCTTTACTTCCGTATACTTGGGAGCGTCTACTATGAGGCGTTTTGGGGATGCTGTAGTCAGCGATTTTACAGAAGCCCTATGGATTCAACACGCTGAAATGACACACAAGTTTGATGCTGTGAAAGCTCCAGTGGAGCCAGCTGCACAGTGTCAAGAAACAAACAAACAAACAAACAAACAAAAAACATCCTCCTCCAACTATTTCATGTCGTCTTCTTCATGGTTTTCACCAGTAGTAACATCCGGAAGTTGATCACGTGATTCATGTGGCGCGAAAAAAGTGTTTCCGACAGTTTTGCAAGTACATCTATTTCGACATCCTTGAAACACCACCTCGAAAAAAAGGTAGTTTTTTTTCTTTCATATTTGCATGTTTCCATTAAGCAAATTTATTTTTCGTAATTTCAATTTGCGCAGTTCTATGGTTAATGCAAACGCCGCTAATGTGAAAAAAGTTCAGCTTAAAATAGTTTTGTAAAGAAAGATAACAGTCTTGCTTTCACTTTTAATGTACATTTGTCCAAAATGTACATTATATTTTTCTATATACCTGGCGGACAGTTGAGGTCCTCGTTGTTGTTGTGCAGCTTAATCAGATTCATGGCCTTGTTATACCGTTCACTGGACTCCGGTATACCCAGCAGGCTCACGTCATAGGCATCCAGAACAACAAATACAAACCCGGGGAACGGGCTAAACTTGTAGGCATAGATGTCACTCTGCTTCGGTCTCCAGTCCGCGTTCAGGCTGCTGTCCAGTGGCGACCCCATCAGCTGGCTCCTGCTAAAGTTATAAAACTCATGGTTGCCCCACACGTGGTGCACCTTGACGGGGCAGGAGGCGAACTCCCGCATCACCGTGTCCAGCGCTCGCTGCGAGGCGCCGTTGGGCTTGTTGAAGCCGTCGATCACGTCCCCGAGCTGGAGGATGAAATCGGGCTTGACAGCCGAGTCGGACCAACTTTCCAAGGCGTTCTGCAGCAGCTTCAGGCTGCTCCGGTAGTACCGCTTCCTTGTCCGGGAGAAATTGAATCCGTCATCAATGTCAGCGTACTGAATGTCAGCGATTACGCCGAATGTAAACAGCGGCGCCGGTTGTTGTGGACAGAGGTCCATACCAGAGTTTCTCTGCCAAAGAGCGGGACTCCTGTGTCCACCGAGGGAGCGACGACACTGACCCGAGACCCAGCTTCCTGGATTACCTTTACATGCCGTTCAGTTTTCGGATCAATCCCATGTTATGACACCGTTAGCACACACTTAACGCCCAGGCTTTACGGTATACTACAGTAAGGCACAATAAAACTACTTCCGGTGCCGCAATCGTTCAAAATAAAAGCCACATACCCATGGAAATGCATATATGAACACCAAGGTACCAAAATACGAAAAATATCTCCAGAAAAATTCACTACTCCGCCATTAAATCCAAAATACAATAATTTTGGAACACTTTGTCGCTTTTGACAGTTGAAATGCCTCGGTTACAACACTATTTATTAGCGTTGTCATGTAAACTAATAATTTAATTTCATTGTAAAACGGTATTACTAACCCATAAAAGTTTAATAAGTTTAATAGATTTAATAAGTTTAATAGATTTACTTCCAGTATTGTAAAAAAAATAAATACAGTTTTTAGTTTTCATTCAAACTTTTTATTTCTGAATATTGAATTAGTTCTACAAGGTTTTTTTTTTTGTTTGTTTTTTTTTTGGTAAAGTATGTTTCTGCTGCAAAATGGCAATTTCGGAAATGTGATTACTGCTGTCCTTCTTCATTTTCCTTTGTAGGGGGAACGACTGTTGACAGGCTAGTAATACACTCAGGAGACCACTTGGGGCCACCATCAGAGGCTATTGTTTCCTCAGGTTGATCCTACAAACAGAGGGAGACACAGACCAATCAAGAAGAAATGCTAGAAAATGATCCGTAAGATATTGCAGCAACTTATTTCACACATATAAATCAGGCAGAAAATTATGACCACATTCTCAATGGTGTAAATAAGAGCTGCAGTTTTGGAGACAAAATTATAACACCAAAATGGTATACTGGAAGTGTCATGTGTGCCACCCACATTCAGGAGCCATGTTGAAGAGATATTAAAGTGGTTGTAATGTTATACCTGATTAGTGTGTATGGAACAAATCACAAGAGTGTCATGAAGCAAAATATACTATTTGGAGCAAAATGAGTAAGTTGGAAAAATATCAAGCACTAAATATGCTCTAAGGGATTCCAAGGTTGGAAAAGGTTTCAAAAGATCCCCAGCATGCAACCCATCGATGTGGCTGAATCATCTATGCTACAGACAGAAGTCACAGGATTGACTCAAGAAGAAGCAGCACCTTCTCCATGGCCTCTGACTTCCCAGAGAAAATATTTTCATCCTTCTGATATAAACCTTCAGCCCATGGGCTGAAGGTTTAGATCAGCAGAAGGGATTTAGAGCCCGTGGGCTGAAGGTTTAGAGTTGGCACAGTCAATGTTGTGTCAGGTGGCAGTGTGTCTGTGTGTGCATTCATTCATTTTTACAACATTAGCAGCAGCCAATAAACTCAACATGTGCTTTCATTGATAGATAAATGCAGGGGGATTGTGTTGATGTCAATGAATTTTTTAAAATGTAGAAAAACATTTATTATGTCTATAGTACTGATATATTTCATTGATTTCCATAGGTTAAAAATAAGTGTTGATTTACCTGATCTGGTTTGAGGTATTCTCCATGTTGCTCACAGCCAATGTCAAAGACGTACTTTCCAAGTCCTTGAGGCTGCATAACAAGATTCCATAAATCGGCAAAGACGCCTAATTTATCAAATTATGTCACCAGTCAACACTATCTACCCAGGATAAACCACCAGTTAAAGTAAGAATATTGGTTCCTCTATTGTAAATTGGACTGTGATTTCATACTTCTAAAACGAAACATTAGGTCACCGCTGCACTACTGTGTATATCTCTGCACCATTAAAAACATACTCAGTCTACCATGCAAGCATATGAAACATGAAACTGGCTGATCAGTTTGTGAATCCAAACTTACACAGTTCTTGACGAAGTTGCCCTCGTATCTGTGGTTAGCGTAGATGTATTGCCCAGATGAATTCATATTGCCGTTCTCCCATGTGCCCTTGTACTTTGCACCGGTGTCCTTGTAGAGGTAAGTGCCCTGACCATGTCTGGAAATCACACAACACCACTGACTTTAGAGGTTTCAAGTTCATTGTCACTCATCCAAACTCACAACTTTGTAGGGTTGAAACTTGGTTAAATAAAATTACCCAAACAGTGGGTCATCCTTTTACAAATGGCATCAGTAGAATGTGCTGGAGAAATTAGGCTGATCCACGATGCAGCTGGCCAGCACATTAAGCTAGTTTTACACTGTGTAAATTTTGGCTGATTTTAACATTGGAATGCAAGTGAAAAGAGTGCTTCTTTCACACTTTGTATACTTTCTACAGAATGGCAACGTTTTCCAAGGAAGAATATTCGTTTTTGTTGACCATTCTCTCATTTTTGGATTAGCGTCCCCACACTTCTGGGTTTCTGTTCGCCTTCTTCTTTGCATATCCGTATTTAAGAGTCCAACGTATCGCACCTACAGTGTTAGCAGTCATGTCGCAAGATGCGAGAACATTAGAACAGGAGTAGAATACCACTGAAAATGTAGTGCAGTGTTTCCCCAGTTTTGCAGGACTTATGGGATCTCCTTGTAGCCTCTAGGTTCCAGATACCAATGCAGAGATTGAGTGGTCTAAAGGAGTCTATAAGCCTCACTGGGGCAGCGCTGTTTGCACAGCAAAAGGAGGGCCAATACTTCATTGGTAGGCAATCATAATGTTATGGTTACTGAGTGCATAAATATACCTCATATGCTGCAGCCATTCTCCATCGTAAGTGTCTCCATTGGGGTAGGTGTAAACACCATAGCCTTCTCTCTGGTCTTCTACCCAAGTTCCTGTTAGGTAAAAGACAGCCATCAGTCACTGTATGATGTCACGAAGCCCTTTCTAAGGATAGAAGTGTCCCATGACAAATATGACCTAGTATATAAGTAAATATAAGATCTGTGGATTGGAGAAAAACTGCAATCATTTTTCACAAATCCACATGACTGTTGCTGTCTTGCAGTCATATGGCGTATAACCAAAAGACCAGTTTAACAGAAATAAATGTTGGGCTACTCCAAAACAGTATTATTACTTTAAGTCAGAAAAACGTGATCAGTTTTGGGGCTATCTGTATACACCTATAGTATACACCTAAGTTGTTTTATAAAGCAACTTCTAGGATTTGTTCAATGGTATAGGAACTAAAAAAAACTCCAAGGTGAATTTCCATTTGACAAAATTTCTTTGTATTGTGATGTTTAAATATAAGTTTATCCCCATAAATATATATATACCTGTTGCAAACCACAACATTTAAATCTGATATTATATGGTACTTTTCAAAGATAGTTTATATTTTAAGAGCAGAACAAAAAAAAAAATTATAATCATTCAAACTTTTCCTAAAGATTTTGTCTATTGATTTTCCATCAAGGAAAATGGTCCAAAAATCTACATAGCAGTACATTTCTAACTTCAAGAAGGGTATAGTTATAATGTCTTTGATTTTTTTCCTCATGATACAACTCAATTAGTTATTTAATTTTATCTTGCACACCACATACCTACTTTGTTCGTTTAAGATAGATTTTAAAAGTTAAAGTGGCGGGTTTTTTGTATTTTTTATTTTTTTATTAATTTATTTTGTCTTGTTCTCCTTTGTAACATTGTTCATCGCAACCCCTGTTCTAAAAGCAGGTAGGCCTTACCTTCGTATTTGGATCCATCAGGATAGTAGAACGTTCCCTGCCCATGTTTCTTGTTCTGGACATAATCTCCAACATACCTTGCCCCGTTCCTGAAGCGGTATGTCCCCTGTTGGATAAAACTGTCAAAAAGCTTCCAGAAACAACACATGACACTTTAATGCCCCCGTTTCCCCCAACAATATCCATATACAACCCACGCTTCCGTGCCGCTTTCCGTTCTCATAGGTTCCTTGGTAGATGTCACCATTGGGTAGAAGAGCCTTCCCGAATCCGTGTCTCTCCCCTATTTCATTTCTCCCCCCGTCATATTCCTGCACCAGTCGGACACACGCGCAAGCACGCACGCACGCACGCACGCACGCACGCACGCACGCACACACACACACACACACACACACACACACACACACACACACACACACACACAAAATAACATAGGGAAAGCCAAGGCAACAGTCGAATTTCAGTCTGTACACTCTATGCTAGTTAGCCTTTTATTTTAACTTACAGCTACAAAGTAAACACACAAATTGCTTTATCTCACCCCGAGTTTATTGTGGTCGTCCTCGAATTCCTCAGAGCTTTCATCCGACATTATTGTGAATGTCTTCAAAATTAGCTATTTAGTCTGAGAGGAGATGGAAAGGCTTGAAACCTAGCTTTAAAAAACGGAGGTTTTTTTTGTTTGTTTGTTTTTTTTGTTGTTAGTTTGCCGTTGTCATGACAACCAACAGTCGCACGTGACTATCTACACAGCCCTGTCTTCTCCATCTTATTTACCATTTTTTTCACGGATAATATTCGGTAAAAGTAGGAATTGTGGGTTTAGTAGGAAAGGAAGGAAAGGAAAAACATTTCCGAGTATTTTTCTTTAATAGATATGCTCAGTGATGACCTGACCAGGGTGCACCCTTCCTCTCACACGCTTTTCTCACCCATCAGAATAACAAGTTCCAGCTGTTCACCAGGGAAAGGCACCTTGTGTTTGAGTTCCCATGTTAACAATGAACCTCACAATATTAATGTGGATTTAGTGCGAGTCTACTGACTAATTTCTATCACGAAAATATGAAATTTCCCTTCCTTCACAATCTGCACTTTTGCTCTCTCACCAGTAGGCTGCAGCAGAGAGCCTTTTTAAACGATTTTATCTCTACTTAAGTTATCTTCAGTTTCCTGTGAAGAGCTGACTTTAAATTAACTACCTTTAACATTTTTAATATTCAGGTGACTGCAGTCAAGCTGATAGCTTCATCTTGTTATCAGCTCTGCTTGCTTGAAGCAGAACTCAAGCTTCTGAGTACCTTCTGTTCCTTGTGTCAGCAGAGGTTTTGCTCATTCATCACAAATAATAATATTAAAGAAAAAAAATAACTCCAGATGGTTGACTCTGTGCGTCATATGCCAGTGTGTTATTTTATGACTAAAAATAAATGCGATGTGTCACACAGTGGTACGGAGGAACAACACAAATGAGGAACTTGAAGACACACTTGTTGACTTTTCATGCTAAATGTCTGTTTTTACAGAGGCAGGCAATGACTCTTAACATAACTCAAGTCAGTTCAAAAGTACTTTCTTAATCCAAATGGAAAATCAATGTTGTTGTAACTCATATTATTAGGTTCTTCAAAGAGTTATTAGATACTGATGGCTGTGGGCAGGATGGATCACCTGCAGCAGTCTGTACTACAGCATAACTGAAGAAGTTTCTGACTGAAGACACATTGTTGTTATATGACAGCTTCATGAAGAGGATGCTCAGTGTAGTCTGCAATGTTCTTCATTTTATGAAAAATCATTCCTTGCACAAGAGTCACCAGAGTTCCCAAGAACAGAACCAGTCTTTTTTATCAGGTCATAGTTTTTTTTTTTTGTTTGTTTGTTTTGGTTTTTTTTTTTATTTGGGGGAGGGAAGCGGGGGAGTTGAGAGAGTTTCCCATATATTTTATAGAATTTTCTCTTTTAAGACACAACGAACTTACAATCAACAAACTTCCACTTATACACTCTAACATTCACTCACACACCCACCATTCAAACTTGCATACATCATGTTTAGTTCCAAAAATATACAAAACCCTTCAGGACACCTATTAATAAGCTCCGCCTTCAGTCCCTATGACGTTTATATATGGCTCCCAGAGGTTCTCAAAGTTGTCGATTTATGTTAGTTTTTCCAGTAGATTCCAATAGATCTCCTGGCTTGAAGAAGTCCATAGTCTATCAACTTAGTCTTCTACGATTGTTTAAATCCCATTGGGTATAGTCCAAGTACAGTGAGTTTAATCTCTAAAGGGACTTTTACATTAAACAATTCAGATAGACACCCGATAACATCCTTCAAAGATTTCTGTATTTTAAGACACACCCACAGACAATGGAGAAGAGTTCCTTTTTACCAATAAGCATTTTGTGCAAGCATCTGGAATATCACTGGACATATAATGAAACCTAATTGGTGTTATGCATAGGTTCTCATAAGCCATTTATATATATCAGGTCAGAGTTGGGGTCCCAATGGCTAACTTTGAACTGCCTTGTTGGTGAAATGTGCAATACGAATAAACTTGATTGATTGATAATCTCCCCTTTTTACCACATATTTCACATTTTACCATATAAGACACTGGTAAGTCCCTTCATTTTTTTACTGAAGTAAATATGCAGCAAAATGTGCAATACAGAAAAACAAATATGTACATACATTGAATCAAATATTCAAATAAGTCAGAAGTGGGTTTGGATAAGAGTTCTGTTAAAAACTGTCTATTGAGTTGGACATGTAGACCATCCAGCTTACCATACAATTTCCTGTTACATCTTCCAAAATAAAATCTGGCAATATAACCTAGGTCAGCCATAAGGTAGTCCTTTGTGAACAGTAAAAGGCTATTTCTGCATCATTAAAAGGACATTTACCAGGATGTATTTTTCTTAGGTCAATGCATTTGTGGGTTGAGTAGCAGAGAGCCCATGAAAAACTTGTCAAATCATTTCTGCGAACATGAAACAGCTTTTTCTGCTACTGACTCTTGTTTGGTGTTGTTTATTGGATTGGATCATTGAAGTTCGATGAAACAAGACATTTGGTATTTTCGTAATTCCTCCTTTCCAGAAGGACAGAATATTGGTTTTACTGTCCACAATGAAGAAAAGTGACCCGGAGAATGATGTCGCTACATTTTACACTGAGTCCAAAAAGTTCATTTTTTCTCTTATCTGACTCAAGAAGCTTGTTTGAGATTTAGCCTGTGTCCACTCGAGTTGTAGCAAACTACAAACATAAATTTACATGGCTCTTTTGAAAGTACTTTCATTACTTATTGCATCTATCCCATGAATGTTGGATTTCTTGGATGTGTGACTAGTAATTGAGGACAGATTCTGATGTCCAGAGTTACCATGGGGCTGTTGGTTTCTCTTCTTACTGATTCTGCCAGGCAGCCTGCCAATTTAGGAGCATGGCCAAGCACTTCCAGTTTTCGAATAATGGATGGAACAGTGAATCATTAAATATTCAAAGGTTTAGTCACTATTTTATAACCTGAGCTTCTCTTGACATTTTTTTTATTTACTTGTCTGTTGGGTTTGATTTAGGGGGTATTGGGGTAACCTGGACTGAATAGAAATACACATCTTTTTTCTCAATCGTTTTCAGATGTATAGGTATCTATACACCTGAAAGAGGACACTGTCTTCAGAAAAAAGGCGAAGAACGGTTAAATTTGGTCAGGTCAGATATGGATATTACTCTACGACTACGTTGGCAAACATAGTTGGTTACTTCGCTGTTTCAGTCTACGAAACAATTGCAGATTTTATTTTGAAAGCAAGCCACGCTAACTTCCGGTCGTTTGCTTTCACGCTACCGGCAGCTTCACAGCGGCGCGCGCGAGTCTTAACGGGGCTGGCAGACTGGCAGCTGGACAACAGAGCGATAATCGAGGGGCGTTCTGACAGGAGCAGCTGGAGGAGAAAACCCTGCTCACCTTCTTCCCACCAGCTTCACTCACATGTCGAGGACATCATTGGATAGCGTAGCCACCCGCACGTCTTTCTGAACATTTAAGTTTGTGTTCTTCGGAGCGAACCTGGAGGGGTGGAGAGAGTTCATCACTGGCCACAGCACCGCTGTTTAAGTGGGAAGTTTTGCTCCGGAGATGTCGGGCTCGTTCTGCAAAACTTTGTACCCGTTCAGCGGGGAGCAGCACCAGCAGGGACTGAGTTTCGAGGCCGGGGAGATTATTAAGGTGACCCAGGCTCTGCCCGGAGGATGGTGGGAAGGGGAGAAAGATGGAGCCAGGGGATGGTTCCCCTCTAGTTATGTGCAGGTTCTGGAGGTAAGCACTTTTATCTTTTTTAATTTGTTTCATTTGTGCTTTTCTTATTAATGAAAACGAGCTCAGTATTGCAAATCCAGCGACACAAAAACTTGTCTCACAGACTGAAGCGCTGGTAAATTGTTTTCCCGTGGTCTCTCTCTCTCTCTCTCTCTCTCTCTCTTTTATCAAATTAACTCCAACCTTTCCAACAATCTGCAGGCTAGGCCACTTCCTCATTCCAAACACATTCCAGGGATGTGCTCAGGTCTTTTCTCTCTCTCTGAATGCCCCCCAATAACCCCTGCTGTCCCCACCCCTCACACCCGATCTGATCCCCCAGGAAGGTTTGTGGGGATCTGCTGCAACCGAGGGAAGAAGGGAGAGGGGGGCTACTTCCAATCCTGGAGTAGTAAAACCCCAAACCAAAAAGCCACAGCAACATTTTAGAAGCTTTATTTATTATTTTTCACATAGGATGAAAGGGATATTAAAACCTGGCTATAAGGGGCAAAAAATGACATACAAGTAAGTGAAATAGAAGAATATAGGGAAATGTTATTCCATTGAAATAATTTGTTCAGTTCCTTGAAGACAGTTTGAAGAACTGGATTTTTTTTTTCTGAATTTTCATCACATGTAACGTTGGGAGGCTTTTATTTTTAACAGTGTGTTTGAACTTTACCATCAAAGATGTAGTCTGGAAAATTCTAACATTGGATTTCAGAACTTTCCAAGTGTGGATATGGCACTCAATATTCCACTGTTTACATTTTGTTTCCTTCCTTGCATACATTCTTCTGTCTGTAGAAGGTCCCTTTGTCCTTCTGTTCGTCTGTCCTTCTATACCCGCTGTCCTTACTTGCAGTCAGTGGTTAAAAGTGTGGTGTTGCTCTGTGTTTCGAAAGAATTGGGAAGAAAATCATAATTCCTGCAGCCGTAACGGACGTAGAAACACTTTCTTACAAGAAGTACCAAAAAACGAAATTTGTGATGGCGAGCTTTCGCTTCTGAAGATACAGCCGTTCTGTCTGCAGTCAGAAAATTGTAAACGTGTGATGCACTGCTCTCCATTGCTGGTTATGGCAAGCAGGTCTGTCACAGTAAGCAATAAATCAATAAGTCACGTGATAAATGAAAACAAGCTCAATAATTTTCATTTGCATGACTTCATAACTCATCTTGTTATTTCTGTTCTTTTATTATTATTATCGTGATGATTTTAGCAGTATATTAACTTGAAAATGACCTCAACAAAACAATATTATTATTTATCGCAATAACTTCTGGGACAATTTATTGTCCATTAAAATTTGTTGTGACAAAAAATTACTACATAACATAAATAAATAAATACATTTACTTATGATT